TATTGCAAACGTGATCCCTTGTATAAAGGTGTCAGTTTTTTTACCAGATAAAAGGGTAAACCCCTATTACTATATTTTGCTACTGGTAAAGGAGGTCTCAGTGTAAACTCAATGCCTATTTCGGTGTTTGTGGTCGACTTATTGTTTTATTATTTTGAACGTCTGAATAAAGTTTACAAAAGACCAAGTCCCTCGAGACGAGGACCATGCTGCCTTTGTATCTCCCACCTCTCCCGCCCGCAGAGTCAACGCGACGCACGGAGGAGCCGTTCTCAAGACGCTGTAGTGACGCACAAACATTGGCCCCCTGTGTGAAGTGCGCTGTGCGGTACAAAAGCCGACAACCTCCACCACCTCCACCACCCCCCAAAGCATTCACTCAACTCTGCACCTCAGTTCATAATCGAGGCGTGTTGGGTTTGATCGCCGAAGTAGAAAATGTTGCGTCATAACCCTCCACCACCCGGCACAGCCAATGAGTAAGGGGTTTGTCATGTAAACAACAAAGCCGCCAATTATCTACCAGTATAGTGTAGTGTATAGTTGTGTAGTGTATAGTGTAATATAGTGTATAGTGCAGTGTGTAGTTTAGTGTATAGTGTAGTGTATAGTGTAGTGTATAGTGCATGTTGTAGTGTATAGTGTAATATAGTGTAGTGTATGGTGTAGTGTACAGTGTAGTGTATAGTTGTGTAGTGTATAGTGTAGTGTATAGTTGTGTAGTGTATAGTGTAATATAGTGTATAGTGCAGTGTGTAGTTTAGTGTATAGTTCAGTGTATATTGTAGTGTATAGTGTAGTGTATAGTGTAATATAGTGTAGTGTATAGTGTAGTGTACAGTGTAGTGTATAGTGTAATATAGTGTAGTGAATAGTGTAGTGTGTAGTGTAATATAGTGTAGTGTAATATAGTGTAGTGTATAGTGTAATATAGTGTAGTGTGTAGTGTATAGTGTAATATAGTGTAGTGTGTAGTGTAATATAGTGTAGTGTATACTGTAATATAGTGTAGTGTGTAGTGTATAGTGTAATATAGTGTAGTGTATAGTGTAGTCTAAAACTTCAGCCCACCGGTGTGTTGGAGAGTAAATCCACAACATTTACCATTTGAGTAGTGTGACGTTTCGCTGGTAACTAAAACCAGCATCATCGGGCGAAATTCCAGAATAGTGAAGCAATCCACCTACTTCCGGTCTTAAATAGACCAGGACGTTGATCCTATTCATCATTGATCCTATTCACGGGGGGTTGGTGGTGATCCTATTCCCGCACGGTACATTCTCGAACTGCCCCTCACCGAATTCCTTGCATTTTCTCAATGACGGTTTCGACCCGAAAGAATTCTCACCTCGTCTAAAAATAAAATAAAAACAGCCTCCATCTCTCGCCCGATATCGAGCTCTTAACTTCATCTTGTGCAGCAGCAACAACAACAACCTTTGACCAGACACGGGGGGCATGATCCGGCTACAGGGGAAAACCTTGGATGTGGCTCGGATACTATCGGCCGACCCGGAGCTCACCTCTCAACAGGATACCCAACGTATTATCCTACAAATAATGACAATCATTGTATCGATGAGAACCCATTCAAGTTTCGATTGTGACGTTAACCAAGTTATCTCGAAACGAAGACTCGCCAACATTCCGTATCGCAACAGATTTCGGGAATAGCCTCATAATCCAACGGCAGGCACCCGCAGTAACTTTTTAATGTCATTTCAGCAGGCATCTCATACAGCGCCTGACGATGCAAACTTAAATGTATAAATACAAATAGGCTTTTGTTTGACCCACAGTGTGGCTGGGCTAAAGCCAGAAACCCTGCTGTACAATAGTGACATGGCTTAACAATAAATAATCAAGGGGCAAATCTCTGCTCTTGACGCAGTACCTTTTGTAAAACACTCACGCCCAGGGCTTGAGCCCAAACCACTTAAAACCAGAGACAGATCCAGGCCAAAGATGATTCCTAGAGGGCATTCAGGGTGATGCGCGATTGTGACTCGTGTCAAATAGGTTTCTTGTCTCGGTTGGGCAGTTGTAAAACCTGTCCGCCCCCCCCCCCCTCACAACACGCAAAGAGGTTGAAACCGGTACTGCAGCAAGAAGTCCCTCCCATTTACGTCGCGTTCCCGCTTTGCGTTGTTTCGCTGGGACGACGACGACGACGCTGACGCTGACGATGGTGACATCGTTTCGCTGGAATGTCGGCAAGCGGTGGTGGCGACGTTCCGGCAAAACGACGCAAAGCGGGAGAGCGACGTTAAACGGTTTCCGAACGAGGTTGAAACCGGTACGAAGCCGACGACGACGCAGTTTCGCTGGGACGTCGTCAGCGTCGACGCCGACGACGATGCCGACGATGACGTTGATGCCGAAGACGAATCGGGGAACGTAATTCGATTTTGTAAAACAACAAAAAATGCATCGACTTGCCTACGACGTTGCTTTTGAACAACAGAAAGAGAAGTGTGGGCAGTGTAGCGACGCCTACACCCCCCCCTAGCGGGCGCTCAAGCCCTCGGTTGTTTACAACATGGCCACACTGTAGACTGACAGCACACTGTACAACATCGCCATACTGTGCACCGCACATTGCCACACTGTACGCGACGCATTGCTACGCGGCACACTGTACAGCATCGCCATGCCCAACATCGTGTCACTGTCCACTGTACATCGTCACACCGTGCACTGTACATCGCCATATTGTGCACTGTACAGCGCCATACTGTGCACTGTACAATGCCACGCTGCACAACAGCGCCATACTGTGCACTGTACAGCGCCATACTGTGCACTGTACAGCACCACGCTGTAAAGTTCCATGCCAAGTCACTCCACACCAGGCCTCTTACATGCAACATCTTTTCGGGTATCTTTTCTTCTCTTTTTGTCGTTGTTTGGTCACTTCATCGTCCCCTGCAAACTTTCACCAGCAGACGACCCCGCAGGAACGCATCCTAAATTGACGCCGTTAAGCCAACGGTAAAAATAAAAACTTGGTTTCGATTGTCCGCCGTTTCGTCGAACGTCGCGATTTTCAATGGACGCATCCCCGACGTGAACGGAGGGACTTTCCGTACGGACGTCCCTCGCTGCCGTCGGGGAAAGTATAACCCTGGCCAACGGCGTTTTACACTTTTAGAAAACGAGTCCGCGTGCGTTCGTTCTACGCGTGCAATGTGGTGACGGCAACATCACGTGACGCGCGGGGCATTGTGGGAGGAAGCAAGCGAATGATCGCAGTCACGCCTCGTGCCCTCTTACAAACCACATTTCGCGCGTTTTTTTTACTCTTCCCTCGTTTCCAGCCGGCACAAACTCGTCCGTCCGTTGAGGAATCTTTCTCGTCGTTTTCCAAAAGAAGGGTTTGAAATCGTTTTTTTTTTGTCGACGGACCCACGACTTGAACCCCGTGTGTTCTCTGTAAAAGGTTACGACTCAGTAAATCTGACACGAACACCGTGAGCCAGTTGGAATAAACAGAGGAAAATATACGGACCCCGGGATTGAACCTGTGAGCTTCGAGGTCCTGGCTCAAGTGTCTATGAAATGGACAATTACGGTGGCTAGGAGATGTTAACTACCTCGCCTGGTAAACAGGTCGTGGGTTTGATCCTGATCCTGATCCTGACGCCTGCTGTATATTTGGAGTTTGCGGTATTTCTCTCCACGTGGCCGTGTGGATTTTTCTCCGGGTCCTCTGGTTTTCCCCTCCACGTTTAGAATCAACGTCACCACGCCTTTTGAGTATTTGGCTGCCGCTATACATTTCCACACAACGACGACGATGATGATGACCAGCCACTTCGTTGAGCTTGCACTTGTGATGACCAAGTCACTTCTGAAACACAGCTACTCATTGGGCCTTACCTCGTAAAATTAAAATAGTTGAGCTTTTAGTTTCAAAATCCTCCGAAGGGACATGCCCAACCACAGGACTTGACGCCGCACTCTAAACCTCTGCGACGGATCTACGGTCCTAGGGGTGCCGTTGAGAATCCTCTGAAATGCACCCAGCCGGCACCCGGCTTCGAATCCAGCGGTCTCGGCGTCCCGACTCGATGTTCGGACGCCAGAGGTCGCAACTGGGTACCCAATACCTGTACCCTACCCGACACCCGGCTACCCGTACCCGGCCGGGTACGGGTACGGGTACCCATTTGCGACCCTGGTGCGGCCGGGTACGGGTAAGGAATCAAAACCCATTTGCGACCTCTGTCGGACACGGCCATCGGCACCCACCGGGGCTCGGATCCGGCGGCGCCAGCGGATGCCGGAGAAATCGGCGGAGTAGCCGAGAGAGACGAGAGAGAGTTTAATACGTAGGCTTCCGCGGCCAATATCCACAATGTAGGTTTTTTGGGTTAGATCGCGTATATAAATGTGACGCTAAACCCGCCACCACCCGACACAGCCAATTAGTGATCTGGCTGTTGCCTGCTGATGCCGGTTGCAATTACGGGCGAAACGTCGCATTCAGATTGTTGATGTCGTGGCTTTGCTCTCCAACACACAACCGGTTCGTGCTGTTCCAGTAACGAATTGGCCACGTTCTGTTTACGTGACAAACCTTAGCGACACATTTATATATTTACACGATCTAACCCAACAAAACCTGCATTGTGGATGAACGCGAGTTTCTAAGACTTAAATTTCGATTTAAAGCTTTCGTGACTGCAGGGATTCATCTTCTTGGTTCTTTCGGTAAAGTCACGTAGAAGGGAAATAATAAAATAACAAAAATAAAACATAATAAAATAATTCTCATCTGAGAATTATTTTATTATGTTTTATTAACAAAATAATAAAAATAAAATAATTCTCATCTGAGAATTATTTTATTATGTTTTATTAACAAAATAATAAAAATAAAACATAAAATAATTTTTATTAATAAAATAAAAAAAAACACAATAAAATATTTCTCACCTGAGAAATAATTCTCACCTGAGAATTATTTTATCATGTTTTATTTCTATCATTCTATTATTTCCCTTCTACGTGACTCTACCGAAAGAACCAAGAAGATTTCTAGGACTTGGCAGTGTCGTGCGAGTGGCAGTGCTTCTTGTAGCTGGCCAGTAGCGAGAAACTTCGGCCGCACTCCTGGCACACGTGGGGCCGGGCGCGAGCGTGCGTGTGCGTCATCTCGTGCCGGCGCAAGTCCTCGATGTCCGCAAAGCCCTCGGCGCATTCCTGGCAACCCAGCGCTCCCCCCCGCGCCGCCGCCGCCGTCCCTCCGCTCGCCCGGTGCACCGTCTTCTGGTGCTTCCGCAGCGCTGCGACGTTCGGAAACTTGCGGCGGCACTCGCGGCAACCATGCGACCGCTGACCGGCGTGCGTGCGCCGGTGCTTGCGGAGGCTACAGGTGCGCGGGAACGTGCGGCCGCACTCCCCGCACGCGTACGGCCGCTCGCCCGAGTGCGTCAGCCGGTGCCGCCGCACCGCCTTGGCGTCGGCGAACACCTTGCCGCACTCGGCGCAAGCGTGCACCGTCGCCGCGGCGGCGGCCGTGGCCGCGACCTCGTGCGCCCGCAGATGCGCCTCGAGCGCCGACGCCGTCGCGAAGTGGCGGCCGCACTCGGGGCAAGCGTGGGGCAGACGCCTGTGGGCGCCGCCGCTCGCCGCGTTCTCCCCGTCCCCCTCGACGGCGTCGCTGGCGCCGGCGGCGCCGGTGACGCCTTGCCCAGCGGCGGCGGCGGCGGCGTGCGTCTTGGCGTGCTCCCGCAGGTTGCACGGCTGCACGAAGCGTCGGCCGCAGTCGGGGCAGACGTGCGGCCGCTCTCCCGTGTGAGTCATTAGGTGCTGGCGCAGCTGCGACGTCCACAGGAAGGACTTGCCGCAGTGGGCGCAGGCATGGGTCAGGGCGCCGGCGTGCGTGCGCTCGTGCTTCCACAGGTTCGAGCGGTTGGAGAAGGTGGCGCCGCAGTCCGCGCAAGCGTTGGAGCGGGCGCCTGTGTGCGTGTCCTCGTGCTTGCGCAGGTCCGAGCGGCTCATGAAGCGCTTGCCGCAGTCCGCGCACGCGTGCGGGCGCTCGCCGGCGTGCGACTTGCGGTGCTTGTTGAGGTTGGAGACGTTGGAGAAGCCTTTGCCGCACTCGTCGCACGTGGTGCTGCGCTCGCGCGTCCGACGCTTGCGGTAGGCACGCTTGGGACGCTCTCCGACGAAATAGGCCCCCACCCCCGGCAGGTCCGGCGGCCTCTCCGCGGGTCTGGCGGTGACTGCGGGCACGGCAGCGGCGGCGGCAGAAAAGTGTTAACATCACGGGGTGCCACGGTGGCGAGATGTTAACTGCGTCGCCTGGTATACGGGAGCCATGGGTTCAGCCTCAAAGTGTGTAGTGTAGTGTATAGTGTAGTGTATAGTAGTGTAGTGTATAGTGTAGTGTATAGTAGTGTAGTGTATAGTGTAGTGTATAGTGTAGTGTATAGTGTAGTGTGTAGTGTAGTAGTGTAGTGTATAGTGTAGTGTATAGTGTAGTGTACAGTGTAGTGTATAGTGTAGTAGTGTAGTGTATAGTAGTGTAGTGTATAGTGTAGTGTATAGTAGTGTAGTGTATAGTGTAGTGTACAGTGTAGTGTATAGTGTAGTGTATAGTGCAGTGTATAGTGTAGTGTATAGTGTAGTGTATAGTGTAGTGTATAGTGTAGTGTATAGTGCAGTGTATAGTGTAGTGTATAGTGTAGTGTATAGTGTAGTGTATAGTGTAGTCTATACAGCATCGACGGCCAAAACACTTAAGATTTTATTTCGATTTAAAGCTTTCGTGACTGCAGGGATTCATCTTCTTGGTTCTTTCGGTAAAAGTCACGTAGAAGGGAAGTAATAAAATAATAAAAATAAAACATAATAAAACAATTCTCACGACGTTTCGGCCACAACGCAAGCAGCCGTCCTCAGGTGAAAACCAGGTCCGTCGAGGCGACAGAGTCTGTCGAGGCGACAGAGTCTGTCGCCTCGACGGACCTGGTTTTCACCTGAGGACGGCTGCTTGCGTTGTGGCCGAAACGTCGTGAGAATTGTTTTATTATGTTTTATTTGTATTATTTTATTACTTCCCTTCTACGTGACTTTACCGAAAGAACCAAGAAGACTTAAGATTTTCCCAAGCTTCTATTGCCCATTCGCTCAACATACCCCCCCGGTTCGTAAATACGAAACGTCTCTCGTTCCGCCGTTGTTCACAGCGACATTGCCCACCACAAGATTACACGACCAATTTATACGGCCGGGCGGGGAGAGGCGGCTGCGGGAAGACTGCCACGCCGGGAGATCAAACCTCTGCATCGCCACTCCGGCGTGCGAACCATGACCACCGCAGCAGCGCCCAGGTATATAAATATGCCAATCTGTACCCAAGTAAAAAAAAAACCCCTAAAAATCCACTTCACGATTAATTGTACGAATGTTCAGCCACACCTGGAAGACTCTGGCTGCCCGCCTCATGATGCTGGTTGTTGTAATTGCCGGCGAAACGTCACGGCTACTCGAACTGTAACCGTTGCTGTGGGTTTACTCTCCAACGCACAACCGGTTAGCGCTGTACTAGTAACAAATTGGCCACGTTCTGTTTACGTGACAAACCCCTTACCCATTGGCCGCGTCGGGCGGTGGAGGCGGGTTGAACGACACACTGACATTTACGCGATCGAACCCAACGAAGCCTCTACTGTGGATCTGCAAAGCGTCCATAATATACGAATTGACCAAAAAGCTCCCCCTAAAAAACCCCATTCTGTTGGGCGCGCTGCGCCACGCTAGATTTACAATCAACGTCAAGCATTTAGAATTATTTGGCTGCTATAAATGTCCAAGTGACGTTGAGCAATCATTGGTGATAGGCCAGGTTGCTTCTGAAAAGCTACATGGCAGCACAGTGGCGCCTTCCGTGGTACAATAAGAAAAAATTAACCCGTAAAAACAAAGTTTTTCACTATAAATCCTTTATATGCGTGGCATCGGTTTTATTTTATTATTCATTTCTGTTTTTCTTGAGTAAGAGTTTCATTTTTATCACATTGGTATTTTAAATTAAATATGACATTTTTTTTTTCCTAAAAAGTGGAACATTTTGGAATTTTTTTTTCACGAACATAAATTGTCACGCACAACGAGTCTGTGTGCAAAATGTCAGCTCGATTGGATCACGGGAAATGGGTTAAAAAACGACCGAAAGATTTGCACGGTTGTAAGCGCGCAAGCAAGCAAGCAAGTGAACGTAATATAAAGGATTTAAAAATATCTTAGTTTAGTGTAAACCCTATCCAGCTGACCGTGCCGCGCCACGCTAGCGGAGATGAGTTCCTCACGGTCGCTGGCGTCCGCGGGGGCCATCTCCTCCGTCTCCGCGCTCCAAGCCGCGTCCAGCAGCTCCTCGCCCTGCGACTCCTGGGTGCCCTCGGGACTCACGGCTCCCCTGGGCGCCGGCGTCTGCTCTGCCACGGCTGCAAGGGAGCCACGGGGTCACACGGAAGGGAGTGGGGTTCGGCCGAAATGACCCCTCCGGTCAAAGTACGCACAATGTGTGTGTATGTCGAACGTCTTTCACACCGTACGAAGCCAACCGTGATATTCAGAGGTGCGGGAAAGGGGATAGAGACTTCTTCTTAGGGTTTATAAATCATCACGGTGGCTAGATGTTGACTACCTCGCCTGGTGTGCAGGATGGTTGTGGGTTCGATCCCGACCCTGACGATGCCTGATGCTGTCTATTTGGAGTCTGCGTCTCTCTCTCTCATCATCATCATCACGGTGGCTAGGAGATGTTGACTACCTCGCCTGGTATGCAGGATGGTCGTGGGTTTGATCACGACCCTGACGATGCCTGCTGCTGTCTATTTGGAGTCTGCGTCTCTCTCTCTCATCATCATCATCACGGTGGCTAGGAGATGTTAACTACCTCGCCTGGTGTGCAGGATGGTTGTGGGTTCGATCCCGACCCTGACGACGCCTGCTGCTGTCTATTTGGAGTCTGCGTGTCTCTCTCTCATCATCATCATCACGGTGGCTAGGAGATGTTAACTACCTCGCCTGGTGTGCAGGATGGTTGTGGGTTCGATCCCGACCCTGACGATGCCTGCTGCTGTCTATTTGGAGTCTGCGTCTCTCTCTCATCATCATCATCACGGTGGCTAGGAGATGTTGACTACCTCGCCTGGTATGCAGGATGGTCGTGGGTTTGATCACGACCCTGACGCCTGCTGCTCTATATTTGGAGTCTGCGTGTCTCTCTCCCCGTGGTTGTGTGGTTTTTCTCCGGGTCCTCCAGTTTTTCTCCTCCTCCACATTTAGAATCGACGTCACGCGTTTAGACTATTCAGCTCGTCTGGCTGCAATACATCTCACATGTTCAGAGCACAGCAGAACCTCGGAGATGGAACGCACGAGAACTCGAACAAATCGGTGTTTCGAACGATATTTCCGAACATTATTTGCCCCGGAAACCGAACGAAATTCGGAGGTCGAAGGGGCAATCCCGACTTGAAAGAAGCTGTATACCCAGTTACTTAATGTTAATAGCTCAGCTTATTGGAGAATATATTGAGTACATTGATTATATTGATGTAGTTTATATTTAGTTCTTTCACATCGGTTTATTGTATGATAGTGGATGGTTGCAGTTCTTTAGTGTCAATATACTAAATGCCTCTATTGATATGTAAACTCTGACTTTAACATAGCCACTTCCGTGACCAGTTACATGCTAATTCCTCACATTAACATCATGCTAATCTCCCAGTTACATGCTAATTTCTGACTTGAACATCCTGCTAATTCTCTCACATTAACGCAGCTTATTCAATGTTAAATTATTCTGTTGATATGTAAACTCCTTTGTCAAGGCGCTCTTCTCCTCCCACCCAGCTTAAAATACGCTGCCAAGCTGAGCAGTGTTCATTGGAGCTCTGTCTTCACCTGAGGACGGCTGCTTGTGTTGTGGCCGAAACGTCGTGAGAATTTTATAATGTTTTATTTTTATTATTTTATTATTTCCCTTCTACGTGACTTTACCAAGAGAACCAAGAAGAGTTTATATACATTTTTTTTAGTTTTAGTTGGTCGTGGCGGAGTGGCTTCCGCGCCTTCCAACGATCCCGAGTGAGCGAAGCCGTCTAGAGCCTCGCGCTCCTGCCTGGGGGGGGGGTCACCGCCCGTCGGCGGCAAGGGAGAAAACTTAACCCGTAAAAACAAAGTTTTTCACTATAAATCCTTTATATGCGTGGCATCGGTTTTATTTTATTATTCATTTCTGTTTTTCTTGAGTAAGAGTTTCATTTTTATCACATTGGTATTTTAAATTAAATATGAATTTTTTTTTTTTACTAAAAAGTCGAAAATTTTGGAAAAATGTTTTCAAGAAAATAAATTGTCACGCACAACGAGTCTGTGTGCAAAACGTCAGCTCGATTGGATCACGGGAAGTGGGTTAAAAAACGACCGAAAGATTTGCACGGTCGTAAGCGCGCAAGCAAGCAAGCAAGTGAACTTAATGTAAAGGATTTAAAAAAGAGGGGGGGGGGGGGGAGGAGGAGGGGGCTTCGGTCCTCACCGTCACGTTCACAGGCGTCGCGATCGTCGCGGTCGTCGTGGTTGTCGTGGCCGTTGTCGCCGTTGTCGCCGTCTCCGTAGCGGACGGGCGGCGCAGCGCGGCGGCGCGCGTGCGACTTGCGGTGCTTGTTGAGGTTGGACACGTTGGAGAACTCCTTGCCGCACTCCTCGCAGGTGGTGCTTCGCTCGCGGGCCGTCCGCCGCCTGCGGTAGGCCCGCCCGGGCTTCCCCCTGCCGGCGCGGCCTGCCGGTGGGTCCGGCGGGCTGTCCGCAGGCCTGGCGGCGACTGCGGTCGTGACAGTGGCGACAGCAGCGACAGCGTGGGCCGCGTCACACAGAGCGGCGCGGCGTGTTGCTTCTCTACGCGGTACGATGCACTTGGTCCATCCATCATCCATCATCATCGACATCAACAAGCCTTTAGGGGCGCCGTGGTGGCGAGACGTTTACTGCCTCGCCTGGTACATGGGGGCCTGGTACACGGGGGGCCTGGCGGTGACTGTGGGTGCAGCAGCATCGTCACACAATGCAACGGGGTGCCGCGGTGCATAGACAACGTTGGGCGATTCCAAGCACCGTTCAAATTCATGGAACTGGGCCACGTCACACAGAGCGACGCGGCGTCACGGCGTGTTGCTTCTCTACGCGGTCCCGCACCCCCTCGTGGTTCGATGCACTTGGTCCATCCATCATCATCGACATCAACAAGCCTTTGGGGGCGCCGTGGGGGCGAGACGTTAACTCCCTCGCCTGGTACACGGGTCGTGTGTTCCGTGGCTTTGATCCCGACTCTGACGCCTGCTGCTGCTGCTGTATATTTGGAGTTTGCGCATCTCTCTCCCCGTGATCGCGTGGATTTGTCTCCGGGTCTTCCGTGTTTTTTTCCCCCCTCCAGATTTAGAATCAACATCACCACGCGTTTAGAGTATTTGCCTGCTGCTGCTATACCTTTCCACGTAAGCCACTTTGTTGAGCCATCAATTAGCTTTAGCCAGCGTCGCTTCTGAAAAAGAACTACAAAGCAGTTCGGCGGGGCCTTATCTGGTCAAATAAAACAATCGTTTATAGTTTCGTGCAAACCAGAGGTCGCAACCGGGTACCCGATACCCGTACCCTACCCGATACCCGGCTACCCGTATCCGGCCAGGTACGGGTAGCCGTTTGCGACCCTGGTGCGGCCGGGTACGGGTAGGCCGTGAGTCACTAGTGAGTAACCGTTTGTCACTCATTTCGGGTAGAGTACGGGTAGGGAACGGCTACCCGTACCTGGCCGGGTACGGGTAGCCGTTTGCGACCCTGGTGCGGCCGGGTACGGGTACGGGTAAGCCGTAAGTCACTAGTGAGTAACCGTTTGTTACTCATTTCTGGTAGGGTACGGGTAGCGTACGGGTACCTGTACCCGGCCGGGTATGGGTAGCCGTTTGCGACCCTGGTGCGGCCGGGTACGGGTACGGGTAAGGAATCAAAACCCAGATTTGAAGCTTTCGTGACTGCAAGGATTCATATTCTTAGGTTTTTTTCGGTAAAGTCACGTAGGTAAAACATTTACTTGATACGGCTGTCGTGGCTGTGACGGTTCCACCTGAAGACGGAAGCTTGTGTTGCCTCCGAAACGTCGTGATTTTTATTTTATTTTTATTAATTTTAATGTTTTACCTACATGGTGACTTTACCGAAAAAACCTAAGAATATGAATCAAAACCCGTTTGCGACCTCTGGTGCAAACCCCGTACGGTTGGACCGCGCCGCCCCACGCCAGCGGGGATGAGTTCCTTACGGTCGCTGGCGTCCGCGGGCGCCAACTCCTCCGTCTCCGCGCCCCAAGTGACGTCCAGCAGCTCCCCGTCCGCCGGCGTCTGCTCTGCCACGGCTGCAAGGAAGCCGGTTTTTAACGACGCAGCAAAGTTCGGCCGAAATGACCCCAACGGTCAATGGGGGAGTAGAGACTCACCCCGCCGTTCCCCCTTACCCAATGTACGTATATGCTGAACTGCTTTGGCACCGTATAACGATGAAATTGCGCTTCGAATGCACCGCCCCCCCCCCCCCCCCCCCCCCCCCCCCCCGTTCGTCTAACAAACACGATTTCTCCTTTCGATTTAAAGCTTTCGTGACTGCAGGGATTCGTCTTCTTGGTTCTTTCGGTAAAGTCACCACGTAGAAGGGAAATAATAAAATAATAAAAATAAAACGTAATAAAATAATTCTCACAACGTTTCGGCCACAACGCAAGCAGCCGTCCTCAGGTGAACAATGAAACACCACCAAGCTTGGAGCATATATTTAAGCTGGGTTGGAATTTAGCTAAATTCCTCTTGATATGCAAATTCCTTTGTCAAGGCGCTCTTTTCCCACCAACCCAGCTTAAATATACGCTCCAAGCTTGGTGGTGTTTCATTCTTCACCTGAAGACGGCTGCTTGCGTTGTGGCCGAAACGTCGTGAGAATAATTTTATTATGTTTTATTTTTATTATTTTATTACTTCCCTTCTACGTGACTTTACCGAAAGAACCAAGAAGACGATTTCTCCTCCCCATGAGGATTTTTCAAGAAGGCGTCCGTCGATGCCGATCGGGGACTTAGCTGTGTGTCGAATCCATCATCGAGTCCCGTTCAAAAGGGGAAATGACCCTGAGGTTGTCACCGAAGTTTCCTGCCTTGACGTGCCCTCAAGTTTGAATCAGGCACAAAGCATGCATTTGTATGTACGTTGAACTTCTATCGCTCCGTACGTAGCCAACCGTGCCGATCTGTGGGTCTCTGTGGGTGTCTCAATGGATCTGAGTGTCTGTGGGTCTTTGTGTGTCTCTGAGTCTGGGTGTCTGTGGGTGTCTGTGTGTTCCTATGGGTGTCACTATGGGTCTGGGTGTCCGTGGGTCTCTGTGTGTCCCTATGGGTGTCTCTATGAGTCTGGGTGTCTGTGGGTCTTTGTGTGTATGTATGTTGAATTTCTATCGCACAGTACATAGCCAACCGTGCTGATCTGTGGGTCTCTGTGCGTGTCTCTATGGGTCTGGGTGTCTGTGGGTCTCTGTGTGTCCCTATGGGTGTCTCTATGGATCTGAGTGTCTGTGGGTCTCTGTGTGTCCCTATGGGTGTCTCAGAGTCTGGGTGTCTGTGGGTCTCTGTGGGTCTCTGTGGGTGCCTGTGGGTGTCTCTGAGTCTGGGTGTCTGTGGGTCTGGGTGTCTGTGGGTCTCTGTGTGTGTCCCTATGGGTGTCTTTATGGATCTGGGTGTCTCTATGTGTCTGGGTGTGTCCCTATGTCTTTATGGATATGGGTGTCTCTATGTGTCTGGGTGTCTGTGGGTCTTTGTGTGTGTATGTATGTTGAACTTCTATCGCTCCGTACGTAGCCAACCGTACTAATCTGTGGGTTTCTGTGGGTGTCTCTATGGGTCTGGGTGTCTGTGGGTCTCCGTGTGTGTATGTATATTGAACTTCTTTTGCACCGTACGGAGCCCACCGCGCTCATCGGAGATGCGGGGGAAGGACAAGAAACTAAACACAACGACAACAACAACAACTTTCAAATCATCATCTAGATTGACAAACTCATTTCTTTGGAACTGCCTCTTGTTGTTGTTGTTGTGTCCAGTTTGTTGTCCTTCCACCTGCACCTCCGATTAGCGCGGTTGGCTCCGTACGGTGCGAAAGCAATTCAACGTACGTATGAATCTCCGCGCGATCCGTACACCCCGCCCCACCCACCCCCACCCCGGCCTTCAAATCACGCCGGACTCACGACGGGGGCGCGCGTGCGCCACCGCTGCCAGGTCCGTCCTCACCGTCGCCGTCTCCGGAGCGGACGGGCGGCGCGGCGCGGCGGCGCGCGTGCGACTTGCGGTGCTTGTTGAGGTTGGACACGTTGGAGAACTCCTTGCCGCACTCCTCGCACGTGGTGCTTCGCTCGCGCGCCGTCCGCCGCCTGCGGTAGGCCCGCGCGGGCCTCCCCCTGCCGGCGCGGCCTGCCGGCGGGTCCGGCGGGCTCTCGGCGGGCCTGGCGGTGACTGCGGTGGTGACAGCGGCGACAGCGTGGGCCGCGTCACACAGAGCGACGCGGCGTGTTGCTTCTCTACGCGGTACGATGCACTTGGTCCATCATCATCATCGACATCAACAAGCCTTTAGGGGCGCCGTGGTGGCGAGACGTTTACTGCCTCGCCTGGTACACGGGGGGCCTTGCGGTGACTGTGGGTGCAGCAGCAGCGGCGGCAGCAGCATCGTCACGCAATGCAACGGGGCGGCGCGGTGCAAAGACAGCGTTGGGCGATTCCAAGCACCGTTCAAACTCATGGAACTGCCCTCGACGCCACGGTGGCTGGGAGATGTTAACTACCTCGCCTGGTACGCGGGAGGTCGTGGGTTCGATCCCGACCCTGACACCCGCTGCTGTATATTTGGAGTTTGCGTGTTCACTCTCCCCGCGGTTGCGTGCATTTGTATCCGGATCCTCCGGTGTTCTACCTTCAGATTTACAATCAACGTCAAGCGTTTAGAATAAAATTTCGATTTAAAGCTTTCGTGACTGTAGGGATTCATCTTCTTGGTTCTTTCGGTAAAGTCACGGAGAAGGGAAGGAGGACGGCTGCTTGCGTTGTGGCCGAAACGTCGTGAAAATTATTTAATTATGTTGTATTTTTATTATTTTATTATTTCCCTTCTACGTGACTTTACCGAAAGAACCAAGAAGACGTTTAGAATTATTTGGCTGCTATAAATGTCCAAGTGATGTTGAGCAATCGTTGGTGATAGGCCAGGTTGCTTCTGAAAAGCTACATGCCAGCTCAGTGGCGCCTTCCCTGGTACAATAAGTAAAAAATTATCCCGTAAAAACAAAGTTTTTCACTATAAATCCTTTATATGCGTGGCGGCAAGAGTCCTCTCGTCCTCTGGCTTGAGATGGCTGCCACCTATGGGTCAGATTATTGCCTGCCACCATTAAGCAATTGGTAATGAAATATAATAAAAAAAAATCCAAAAAAGAGTAAAATTTAGGAAAAAAATTTTCACGAAAATAAATTGTCACGCACAACGAGTCTGTGTGCAAAATGTCAGCTCGATTGGATCACGGGAAGTGGGTTAAAAAACGACCGAAAGATTTGCACGGTCGTAAGCAAGCAAGCAAGCACGCAAGTGAACTTAATATAAAGGATTTAAAAAATATCTTAGTTTAGTGCAAACCCTATCCAGCTGACCGTGCCGCCCTACGCTAGCGGAGATGAGTTCCTCACGGTCGCTGGCGTCTGCGGGGGCCATCTCCTCCGTCTCCGCGCTCCAAGCCGCGTTCAGCGGCTCCTGGGCTCCCCCGGGCGCCGACGTCTGCTCTGCCACGGCTGCAAGGGAGCCCCGGTGTACACGCATCACCCCCGTGCTGTTAGTATATTCCTTGACTTCAGTACTTTGCTTCCTATGGGAAGATCAACTCTTCAACTATTTGGTTTGACACGTAGGCTTTCGCGGCCAATGTCATCCATAATAATGGAGGCTTTTCTGGGTTTGGATCGCGTAAATGTGTCAATGTGTCGTTAAACACGCCAACACCCGACACAGCCATGATTAGTAACGGGGTTTGTTACGTGAACAGAACGTGGCCAATTCGTTACTAGTACAGCACTAACCCGTGTTAATTCTAGATTTGAAGCTTTCGTGACTGCAAGGATTCATACTCTTAGGTTGTTTCGGTAAAGTCACGTAGGTAAAAAATAGATAAATAATCATTGCAGTCACGAAAGCTTCAAATCTAGAATTAACACCCTCTACGGAGAGGAATTTCGCCTATCTGTTAGAGTTTTTAACAGACGACGAGACAAGAAGTCACAGCTTCTCGAGACGCTGGCCTTCCTCAAGAGATGCCGCGATAACAATAAACTTGTATTTAAGAGCTTGTATCTTGGAATCTCTGCCTCACTTGATACAGTAAATCTGGCTGTGACGGTCCCACCTGATGACGGAGACTTGTGTTGCCTCCGAAACGTCGTGATTTATTATTTTATTTTTATTTCAATTATATTTCTATTATTTATTTTTTTACCTACGTGACTTTACCGAAAAAACCTAAGAGCACTAACCCGTGTGTTGGAAAGCCAAGCCACAACATTTACAATCATCCAGTCTCACTTGATACAGCAAATCTGGCTGTGACGGTCCCACCTGATGACGGAAACTTGTGTTGCCTCCAAAACGTCGTGATTTATTATTTTATTTCTATTATTATTAAAATTAAATTTTTATTATTTACTTTTTTACCTACGTGACTTTACCTAAGAGTACTAACCCGTGTGTTGGAGAGCCAAGCCACAACATTTACAATCATCCAGTCTCACCGTCACGGTGGCCGGTGTCAACGTCGTCGCTGCTGCTGTCGTGCCCACCGCGGTCTTCGTAGTCAACTGGTGCTTCGGGTTTCTCCGCCATGTGATGCCAAAAGTCGGAGCCGGGATCCACTCCGTGCGGTCCCCCCGAGGGAACGGAACGGCTTCCCATCGCTCTCCTCGAGTCCAGAGGGAAAGAGACGCCACCAAACGATGTCAGTTTACGCAGCATCTTAACGTGCACAACATCGTAACAACTGCCTGATTACTAATCTAGTATATAATTACAATAACTCCCCCCCCTCAAATCGTTGCACCTGATGAGTTAATGATGACGTCACCCTGCTGCTGCTCTATATAAGAACGGGAGACAGAGCAGAGCCTCACAATTCTGGCGAATTGCCCGATGATGCTGGATGCAATAACCAGCGAAACGTCGTACTCAAAAATTTTAAATGTTGTGGTTTCACGCTTCAACACACCGGTGGGCTAAAGCAGTGAACTATTTGTCTTTTGTCAACGTGACACTTTTTTACTGATTGGCCGTGTCGGGTGGTGGAGGGTTACGACACATTTATAAATAACGCGATCTAAACCCAAACACGTTGATTATGAACAACAAAGCGGTTTGTGAGAATTTTTTGAGGTTTAAAAAAATTCCCCCCCCACCACCACCACCCCCAATTAGTGAGGTTTAGTCACGTACACAAAACGTGCAAATTCGTTACCACTTCAGCACACCGGCTGTGTGTTGGAGAGTAAACCCACAACATTTATAATTTGAGTATCGTGGCGTTTCGCTGGTGATGACAACAACCAGCTTCATTATGCAATTTTCCACGGTGGCTACTACCTCGCCTGCACAACTGTCAACCCCTTATCAGCGCCCCTACCTTATTACAGACCAATTGAGAGCTTACTGATCGCCCCGTGCCATTATAAATCTCAACGTTCATCCCACAAAGTCCCATCACAAAGGAGAAACACAATCAAATAGACAAAAAGTGCTTTTGCCCGTATTGAAACGGCTATACGCCGTATGGACCTGAAAACTCAATTTCCCTGTACAAGAATACGGGTAAACCGAGTGGGTTGGCAGGTGCACCTGGTATACAGGAGGTCGTGGGATCGATCCTGACCCTGGCGCCTGCTGTACATTTGGAGTTTGCTTCTCTTTCTCTCTCCCCGTGGCCACGTTGATTTTTCTCCGTGTCCCCCGGTTTTTCACCTCAACATTCACAATCAACGCGACGCACTGAAGAGTATTTGGCTGCAATACATTTCCGGAAGTGATAAGCCCACTTCTTTGAGCTATCATTTGTGATAGCCAGGTCACTTCTGACAGAGAGCTAAATAGCAGCTCCAGTGGTCAAATAAAGCATTGTTTGTCGTTCAGTTCATAGAATGTGGCCGTGGTCAAGAGGTAGCCGAGACCGATGCAAGCACACAGAATGAGAATATTTATACCGGAGGAGAAATCCAATGAGCTATAAACCTCTTTTTTTAAATCACAGATGTTCTCGTAGGGTCACGCGGGGGTCAGAACGTTTCAATATTCCAACCAACACACCTTGCCTTGGCTTTCCTCCTGCTGATAGGTCCCACCACCACCGCCGTTGTTGTTGTTGTTGTCGTGGCGGTTGTTGCAGTAGTAAGGTCGACAACACCCAACCTCACCCTAAAATCGTCCAAAGTCATTAACTCTACTGCGGCAAACGTTGACTTTATGAACGGCTAAACTGTCAATGTCCTTTATACCACTCACCGCCCGTTATCTGTGCGCAAAAAAAAAGAGAATACATAGATTTACGACGTGCAAATTATTTTCCGTCGCCAAGCAGAGATGTGGACTTCTTTGGTTTCGCTGAGAAAGAAATGTGTTGGGTCACTTTTATATAAAAAATCCCCTACGCCGGAACGTGCGGAACCCATTTCCCTTTAAAACAAGGGGGGTGATGTAGCGTAATAATTCCATAGGAATGGCGTAGGTTTATTAGGTAGCTGGTAACAATCTCAATAAACTTTCGGCCCAGAACTGCCACTCCACTGCAGGATGATTTTTGCCCCCCTATTGAAACGGCTGTACGTCGCCTGACCTCAAAAATGAATTTCCCTTGCACAAGAATGAGGGCTTCACCCGTGCGGGTTTGCAGGGTCATTGCGATAACTTATGATGATGATGAAGTAGCAGGCGAGAAGACGATATCGTGAGATGACCACGTGTCCAATTGTGTCACGTGGCCCAGATTTCAAGTGTCACGTGGCCCAGATTTCAAGTGTCACGTGGTCCAGGTTTCAAGTGTCACGTGGCCCAGACTTCAAGTGCCACGTGGTCCAGGTTTCAAGTGTCACGTGGCCCAGATTTTAAGTGTCACGTGGCCCAGATTTTAAGTGTCACGTGGCCCAGATTTCAAGTGTCACGTGGTCCAGGTTTCAAGTGTCACGTGGCCCAGACTTCAAGTGCCACGTGGTCCAGGTTTCAAGTGTGACGTGGCCCAGATTTTAAGTGTCACGTGGCCCAGATTTTAAGTGTCACGTGGCCCAGATTTCAAGTGTCACGTGGCCCAGATTTTAAGTGTCACGTGGCCCAGATTTTAAGTGTCACGTGGCCCAGATTTCAAGTGTCACGTGACCCAGATTTCAAGTGTAACGTGGTCCAGATTTTAAGTGTCACGTGGCCCAGGTTTCAAGTGTCACGTGGCCCAGATTTCAAGTGTCACGTGGCCCAGGTTTCAAGTGTCACGTGGCCCAGGTTTCAAGTGTCACGTGGCCCAGATTTCAAGTGTCACGTGGCCCAGGTTTCAAGTGTCACGTGGTCCAGGTTTCAAGTGTCACGTGGTCCAGATTTCAAGTGTCACGTGGCCCAGGTTTCAAGTGTCACGTGGCCCAGGTTTCAAGTGTCACGTGGTCCAGGTGGTCTCCAAATATTTTACAACGGGGTTTTAATTCGGCTGTTGTTGTGTTTGTTGTTGTTGTGTTTGTTGTTGTTGTGTTTGGTGTTGTTGTGTTTGTTGTTGTGTTTGTTGTTGTGTTTGTTGTTGTTGTATTTGTTGTTGTTGTATTTGTTGTTGTGTTTGTTGTAGTTGTGTTTGTTGTGTTTGTTGTTGTGTTTGTTGTTGTGTTTGTTGTTGTGTTTGTTGTTGTTGTATTTGTTGTGTTTGTTGTTGTTGTATTTGTTGTTGTGTTTGTTGTTGTTGTGTTTGTTGTGTTTGGTGTTGTTGTGTTTGTTGTTGTGTTTGTTGTTGTTGTATTTGTTGTTTGTTGTTGATTTGTTGTTGTGTTTGTTGTAGTTGTGTTTGTTGTTGTGTTTGTTGTTGTGTTTGTTGTCGTTGGGTTTGTTGTCGTTGTTTGTTGTTGTTGTGTTTGTTGTCGTTGTGTTTGTTGTCGTTGTGTTTGTTGTTGCTGTGTTTGTTGTTGTTGTGTTTGTTGTTGCGGTGTTTGTTGTTGTTGTGTTTGTTGTTGTGTTTGTTGTAAGTTGTGTGTTGTTGTTGCGTTTGTTGTTGTGTTTGTTGTTGTTTGTTGTGTTTGGTGTTGTTGTTTGTTGTTGTTGTGTTTGTTGTCGTTGTGTTTGTTGTTGTGTTTGTTGTTGTATTTTTTGTTGTGTTTGTCGTTGTGTTTGTTGTTGTTTGTTGGTGTTGTGGTTGTTGTGTTTGTTGTTGTTGGCAAAGTCCCGTGAAACCAACTTAAGTGGGATAGCAATCAATGAACGTTCTCGAACGAAGCGAATGCTGCGTTTGTGTGTTTATGCAAACAACAAACCCTGTCCAACAATAACGAACAATAGTTTAAATGTACCTGGCACTTTGTCGCTGCTGTCCTTATGTTAGCTGTGTAGTTGTTGTTGTTGTTGCTGCTGTTGTTGTTGCTGTTGTTGTTGCTGTTGTTGTTGCTGCTGTTGTTGTTGCTTTAATTGTGACAAGCGTGAGCGTTCGAAGGACAAGGAAGCGCCGATGGCCCCTTGCCGGGGATAGTCAGCAGCATGGAGCCGCTGCCGTGACCACCACCACAATGATGTCTCTGTGTGGTGGTGGTGGTGGTAGTGGTGCAGTGGTGGTGGTAGTGGTGCAGTGGTGGTGGTAGTGGTGCAGTGGTGGTGGTAGTAGTGGTGGTGATGCAGTGGTGGTGGTAGTGGTGCAGTGGTGGTGGTGTAGTGGTGGTGATGTAGTGGTGGTGGTAGTGGTGCAGTGGTGGTGGTAGTAGTGGTGGTGGTAGTGGTAGTAGTGGTGGTGGTAGTAGTGGCAGTGGTGGTGTAGTAGTGGTATTGGTGGTGTAGTGGTATTGGTGATGTAGTGGTGGTAGTAGTAGTGGTGGTTGTGCAGTGATGGTGTAGTGGTGGTTGTGGTGGTGTAGTGGTAGTAGTGGTGGTGGTGTAGTGCTGGTGGTGTAGTGCTGGTGGTAGTGGTGGTGATGGTAGTGGTGGTGATGGTAGTGGTTGTGGTGTAGTAGTGGTAGTGGTGTAGTGGTGATGGTGTAGTGGTGGTGGTGTAGTAGTAGCAGCGGTGGTGTAGTAGCAGTAGTAGTGGTGGTAGTGTAGTAGTAGTGGTGGTGTAGTAGTAGCAGCGGTGGTGTAGTAGCAGTAGTAGTAGTGGTGGTGTAGTGGTTGTGGTGATGGTAGTAGTGGTGGTGGTGTAGTGGTGGTAGTAGTAGTGGTGGTGGTGTAGTGGTGGTGTAGTAGTAGTGGTGGTAGTGTAGTAGTGGTTGTGGTGATGGTAGTAGTGGTGTAGTGGTGGTGTAGTGGTGGTGGTGTAGTGGTGGTGTAGTAGTGGTGGTGGTGTAGTGGTGGTGGTGTAGTGGTGGTGTAGTAGTGGTGGTGGTGTAGTGGTGGTGGTGTAGTAGTGGTGGTAGTGTAGTGGTGGTAGTGTAGTGGTTGTGATAGTGTAGTAGTAGTGGTGGTAGTAGTAGTGGTGTAGTGGTGGTGTAGTAGTAGTGTAGTAGTGGTGGTAGTGTAGTGGTGGTAGTGTAGTGGTGGTAGTGTAGTGGTGCTGTAGTAGTGGTTGTGTAGTAGTGGTAGTAGTAGTGGTGTTAGTGTTGTGATGGTAGTAGTGGTTGTGTAGTGCTGGTAGTGTAGTTGTGGTGGTGATGGTAGTGGTTGTGTTGGTAGTGGTTGTGTAGTGTAGTAGTGGTGGTGATGGTAGTAGTGTAGTTGTGATGGTAGTGGTGGTGGTAGTGTAGTTGTGGTGGTGATGGTAGTGGTTGTGTAGTGGTGGTAGTGTAGTTGTGGTGGTGATGGTAGTGGTTGTGTTGGTAGTGGTTGTGTAGTGTAGTAGTGGTGGTGATGGTAGTAGTGTAGTTGTGATGGTAGTGGTGTAGTGGTGGTGGTAGTGTAGTTGTGGTGGTGATGGTAGTGGTTGTGTAGTGGTGGTAGTGTAGTTGTGGTGGTGATGGTAGTGGTTGTGTTGGTAGTGGTTGTGTAGTGTAGTAGTGGTGGTGATGGTAGTAGTGTAGTTGTGATGGTAGTGGTGTAGTGGTGGTGGTAGTGTAGTTGTGGTGGTGATGGTAGTGGTTGTGTAGTGGTGGTAGTGTAGTTGTGGTGGTGATGGTAGTGGTGGTAGTGTAGTGGTGATGGTAGTGGTGTAGTGATGGTAGTAGTGGTGGTAGTAGTGTAGTGGTAGTGGTGGTGTTGGAGTTTAAACGCGAGCGGTCGACCTGCCTTGGCGGTGCTGGTGACGGTAGTGATGGTGACGTCACCCGCAGGAAGAGGGGGCGGGGCTAAGAAAGGAAGAGGAGGGGCTACAGGGATCAAGGGGAGGGGTTAAGCGGGGGAGGAGAGGGGAGGGGCTGAGGGGGAGAAGAGGGGAGGGGTTAGGCGGGTGCTTAGGCGAGAGGAAGAGGGAGGGGCTAAGGGGTGGAGCTAAGCGGGGGAAGGGGGAGGAGCTACGGGGGAAAGGGGAGGGGCTAACGGGGGGGAGGTGCTAATGAGAAGATGTGGGGTGGGGCTAAGTGGGGGATAAGGGGAGGAGCTACGGAGGAAAGGGGAGGGGCTAACGGGGGGAGGTGCTAATGGAGATGTGGGGTTAAGGGGTGGGGGCTATTAAGGGGCGGGGGGTGAGTTAATGTGGAAAGGGGTGGGGCTAGAGTGGCCCCGGAACGCGCGTCGACGAGCGCTCAGCCAATCAGCAGGCGGCTGCGCCTGTGACGTCGGTGGCGGCAGCTGCTCGATGCGGACCAAACGGCTTCGCTCGCTGCTCAATTTCTTGACAGCAGCAGCAGCAGCCTTGTTGTTGTGGTGGTTGTTGTTGTTGTGGTTGCAATTGTTGTGTTGGTTGTTGTGGTTGTTGTTGTGGTTGCTGTTGTGGTTGTTGTGGTGGTTGTTGTGGCTGTGGTTGTTGTTGTTGTGGTTGTGAGAATTGTATTTTATGTTTTATATTTATTATTTTATTTTTTCCCTTCTACGTGACTTTACCGAAAAAACCAAGAAGAGGAATCCTTGCAGTTATACTTTGTGAGAATTGTATTGTATAATAATATTTTGCTGTCTTTTCTTGGATTTTCTGTTTGCACTCAGTCACATATTCACTTTAAGATGTTTTTGTTCATTTTTTTGTTTCTTGTTTGTTGCGGTTGCACCCGATTCAAGAGCTGAATGGCTCACAGGGCTACACCTGATAAATAAACTTGAAATGAACTTGATTTCTGTTCGGCTGTTCAAGAACTCATCCTGGTCGTGAACCGGGGTATGGCCTGTACGGTCACGTAGTGAAAACTGCGCAGTCTGATGGTGTGAAACCAGTCTCAGGACTCTAGCGAACTCCTCTTCACTGAAGCGTACAGGGCAGGCTGACCAGGTTGGTGCTTTAGGTCCAAGGTTACCAGGGACAACGTTTCAGTGTTGTACATTCATTTATTCCAAACTCCCCCTCCCCCCAAATCTCCAATACTATCTCCTAATGGACCACTTTTACTTTGCCGTGTCCTTAGCAAATATTCGGTCTCCCGAAAATGATGGTAATTCATGACCACGGCAGGTCTGTCTTGGTGCGAGGATGAGTGTGTCTCCGGTATTTTTTATTGTGCCTTTAAAAAAAAGCAATTGACAGCCATGCCATTAAGTAAAACACACGTGTTTTATATTCCAGTTAAACAACACCAACAAAAATTTATCGATTATTTTATGAGGTCAGTTGCGTAGCGTCTGATAATGGGAAACTACAGTGGAAATCAATCAGTACTCCAAATGTCTCTTACAAGGCACGAGCAATGCTTACAAAGCGACTTTACAGTATTTGCTTTGACAACACCGTAGTTGACAAATAATGGTTAAGCACTATTCTTAGGTTTTTTCGGTAAAGTCACGTAGGTAAAACATCAAAATTAATAAAAATAAAATAAAAATCACGACGTTTCGGAGGCAACACAAGTCTCCGTCATCAGGTGGGACCGTCACAGCCGGATTAGCTGCATCAAGTGAGGCAATGATTCAAGATGTAATCCCTTAAAAGCAAGTTGAGGGGGGAGGAGAGGGGGGGGGGGCTCATCAGAATGTGGTAGCCAATGAATGGAACGTATCGGGAGGGAGGGGGGCGGGGCTCAAAGACGGCACGGAGTGCCACGTACAACGCATCGGGAGGGGGAGGGGGCGGGGCCAAAAGGATGGACGACGGCTTGGACGCGGTTGCTGCTGCACACGCCAACGCATTGGACAGAGAGGGGGAGGGGGGGCCTGATACACATGATAGAAAAAGAACGCAAATGCCCATGTTTATACCAATGCTGGCTGAACAATGAAGACAGTACTGTTAAACACTGGGGATGTTAACACTCGGTAAAGTGAAGTAAAATAGTGCCTGTCAGATAAGATGGTCCAAAAAAAGTGTAATTAAGTCTTTTTTGCGTGGTTGATAACATCTTTCCAATGATTACTAAGTTTGTACCCATCATCACGGTTGAAATTATGTCTGTGTTTGTATATTTGTATGGCTTCGTGTACAAACCTTTGATGGTAGCCGGGAGGTTTGCAGAGAACCTTGGTCTCGGAAAAGACAATTTCATGAGAGCCCACCGAGTTGTAGCAATGATCGGCAACGACACTCTCAGGCTGTACACATATTACGTCACGTAGGTAAAAAATTAAAATTTATAAAAATAAAATAAAAATCACGACGTTTCAGAGGCAACACAAGCTTCCGTCTTCAAGTGGAACCGTCACAGCACGATAGCTGTATCACTTGATACATCTATCGTGCTGAAGACGGAAGCTTGTATTGCCTCCGAAACGTCGTGATTTTTATTATTTTTATTTTACTTTTATTAATTTTAATTTTTCACCTACGTGACTTTACCGAAAAAACCTAAGAATATGAATCCTTGCAGTCACGAAAGCTTCAAATTAGTTTTGCCTAACCCATTGTCCTTTACATCCCGTGGGACATTCTGTAAATGATCACAAAAGCCAATTTATACTCCATACGTCACATTCTTTTGGCTAAATATTCAAACGTAATACCTTCTGACACAATTTCTTAGGGGTGATTTGCTGTTTTTAATTGGAGGCAAGGTAGGGTTTCACCCCTGTTACATTAAATATTCCTTTCCTCACCCAGTCTGATGAATTGTCACCATTCAGGACCACAATTTAAATCAAGAATCTTTTATGTAAATTTCGATTTAAAGCTTTCGTGACTGCAGGGATTCATCTTCTTGGTTCTTTCGGTAAAGTCACGTAGAAGGGAAATAATAAAATAATAAAAATAAAACATTATAAAATTTCGATTTAAAGCTTTCGTGACTGCAGGGATTCATCTTCTTGGTTCTTTCGGTAAAGTCACATAGAAGGGAAATAATAAAATAATAATTAAACATAATAAAATAATTCTCACGACGTTTCGGCCACAACGCAAGCAGCCGTCCTCAGGTGAAGAACAGGTCTGTCGGAAAGACAGCGTTTCATGTACTTTTTTTTACCATCATTTGTTTGCATTCTAATTCCCCCCTCCCCATTTCAAAGTTTTGTTCACTCGGTCCCCCCCCCCGCACCTCAGATTAGCGCAGTTGCCTATGCACGGTGCGAAATAAGTTCAACATGCATACATGCACGCATTTAAAATGCTACTTTATACACACATCGTGCACCTTAGAAACCAAAATTGTTCAAGAAACTATTTTTTCCTGTGGTTACGCCAATTCGTAGCCCCCGTGGAGGCGTGGTGGGATGTCGGTGATATTGCCCACGAATCGCCTGTGCGGGGGGGGGGGGGGGGGGGGCAGTGCTAGGCCACGTGACCCACTCTGCGAGTCAGTTTCGTGGGGGGGGGGTAGCGCTGGGTCATGTGATCCACTCTGAGTCAATGGTGTGGGGGGCTGCAGTGTTGGGTCACATGACCCACGCTCTCTCTCTCGGGTGACTGCAGCGATATTGTCCACTGTTTGTTTTTAAACAGTCTTCTATCAACTCAAGGTGACCGAATCTTGCCACGAATATCGATGAACTGACGGCATCGTTACATTATTGAAATTTGGCGGCTGCCTTTTCCATTATTTGAGAGCTACTCCCACGCTTTTGCAACCGTTCCCAAGTCGTCCGCTTGCCGAGACCACCTGAAGTTTCTTCCGCCCCTGCATTCTGAAAAACGGCTTTTGTACTCGCGTCAGAAATGTATTATAACTTGTTTTGTTGTATTTCGATTTAAAGCTTTCGTGACTGCAGGGATTCATCTTCTTGGTTCTTTCGGTAAAGTCACGTAGAATGGAAATATGTTTTATTTTTATTATTTTCATTCTACGTGACTTTACCGAAAGAACCAAGAAGTTGTTTTGTTGTAGCCTGCAAATCCGTCGCATGTTTTCGAATGGGCTTACACCCGCGCGTGCTGCCAGCGCAATTCGGCCGTGGAGCAATTTTGAAATTGTTGGTCAGCCTCGTTGCGACTTCCCAATGCTTTCTGGGTAAGGGTCCCCTTGCTGTGCGCACGTACGTTGAACTTCTTTCGCGCTGTACGTACGTAGCCAACCGCTCGAAGCGGAGGTGCGATTAGCGCGGTTTGGAGGACGGCCCGGTGATGGTGGTGATGTGTGAACTTTTATCTTCTTGGTTCTTTCGGTAAAGTCACGTAGAATGGAAATAATACAATGAAAATTAATAAAAAGAAAACATAATATTTTAATTATAATTTTATTCTTTTTTATTTTATTATTTCCATTCTGCAGGGATTCATCTTCTTGGTTCTTTCGGTAAAGTCACGTAGAATGGAAATAATAAAATAAAAATTAAAAAAATTTATAACAATACATTTTTTATTATTTTATTATTTCCATTCTACGTGACTTTACCGAAAGAACCAAGAAGATGAATCCCTGCAGTCACGAAAGCTTTAAATCGAAAAGTGAACTTTTATGTCGGGTACCCTTCTTCCTCTGCGTGCAAGGAAACACAACTGCCTCCTCCTGGCACCACATTCATTCCCCGGCGTGTACGTGTCCGAAGTGCATAGCACGACGCAGCAGTATTTCATCAATGAAGTGTGCGTCCATAAATACGAACGGTTTTCGGCACAGCACGGGAGACGTTTGTTACTCTTCTTGGTTCTTTCGGTAAAGTCATGTAGAATAGAAATAATAAAATCATAAAAATAAAACATAATAAAATAATATATTATATTATTAGATTCCAAGAACACAGGATGAGATGTTACTATCCTTTGTGCAAGCATTTCCAAGAGTTCATGAACAGTGAGCCTGGTGAAATTTGGGGAGCGCATCGTCAGTAGTGAACCTTCGGTTCCTAGGGTGTTTCGGCCTTTCACACGATACACCCTCCCCAAAGGCGGCCAGCGACAGGGTGATCAATCCTACGCTTGCGTCCCCCAATTAGTCTTAGGAGTTGCATTATATTATTTAATATTATATTAGTTTATAATATTATTTTATTATATTATTTTATATTATATTATTTTATTATGTTTTATTTTTATGATTTTATTATTTCCATTCTACGTGACTTTACCGAAAGAACCAAGAAGATGAATCCCTGCAGTCACGAAAGCTTTAAGTCGACGTTTCTTACTCTTTGCTGCCGTGACAGCGCGTCTCTATGTTACGCCCGCCCCTTCGATGGAGCCACCCATGGTGGATTAAAGAGCTGCGTGTGGTGGATTAAGGAGCCGCGCGCGGCTCCCAACCTTCACACAGTTGAACGGCGACTCTGGACATGTCCGGATTTGAGACATTCTCTGCGATTACTGGCAAGTCCCGAGCTCCATCCCCGCCTCCGCTATCGGTGCCGCCGCATCTCCACGCTGCTGTTGCTGCTGCGCGGGAGCCTTGGGCGCGGGCCGATGAGTCGCCCGGTGCCTCTTGAGGTTCGCCGACTGCGAGAAGCGGCGTCCGCACTCCTCGCACGCGTACGGCCGGTCGCCCGTGTGCGTGCGCAGGTGCGTCTTGAGGTTGGAGGGCTCGGCGAAGCGCACTCCGCACTCCTCGCAAACGTACGGCTTCTCGCGGCTGTGCACGCGCTTGTGCACGCGCAGCGACGAGTGCCACGTGAAGCCCTTGCCGCACTCGTCGCAGAGGTACAGCTTGGCGGCGTGGATCTTCTGGTGCTTCTTGAGGCGGTAGACCAGCGTGAAGCCCTTTCCGCACTCCTGGCACACGTGCGGCCGCTCGCCCGTGTGCTTCATCTGGTGGCGCTTGAGCGCCGACAGCCAGAAGAAGGCCTCGCCACACTCCTTGCACACGTGCGGGCGCACCCCCGAGTGCAGCTTCAGGTGGCAGCCTAGGCCGTGCGGCTGGGCGAAACGCTTGCCGCACACGGCGCACGGGTAGGGCCGCTCCCCGCTGTGGATCTCCCGGTGCGTCCTGAGGCGCGAGCCGCTGACGAAGCCCTTGCCGCACACCTCGCACGCGTAGGGACGCTCGCTCGAGTGCGTCCTGGCGTGCTTCTTCAGGTCGGAGAGACGCAGGAAGTCGCGGCCGCACTCCTCGCATGCGTGCCGTCGCTCCGTGCCGCCGTGCGCGCCCCGCCGGTGCCGGGCCAGCAGCGAGCGGAACGGGAAGCCTTGCCCGCAGTCGTCGCACGCGTGAGCGTGCTGCCGCTGCTTCTCTGCGTCCGCCGCCGACGCCGGCAGCTCTGCTGCCGCCACCGCCGCGCCACCCCCGTGCGGAGCCTCGTCCGGCCGCGCTGCCGGCGCCGCCGAAGACTGCGGCGAGCTCCGGCTCTCCGCGAACGCGGGACGCGGGTCCTCCCCGGCGTGCACGCGCCGGTGCCTTTTGAGCTCTGAGGCGCGCGCGAAGGCCTTGGAGCAATCGCCGCACGCGTGCGCCTTCTGGCCGCCGTGGGCCCACCGGTGCTTCCTGAGGTGGGAGGCGCACGGGAAGCCCTCGCCGCACTCGTCGCACACGTGCGGGTACTCCCCCGAGTGGACCTTGCGGTGGCGCGACAGCCGGTAGAACGTCTCGAAGCCCCTGCCGCACAGCTCGCACGGCGGCGGCTTGTCGCGCGCGTGGATCTTGGCGTGCTTCCTCAGGTTGTCGGCGAAGGCGAAAGCCTTGCCGCACTCCGGGCAGACGTGCGGCCGCTCGCCGGCGTGCACGCCCCGGTGCGCCGCCAGCTTCTCCGGCGTCGCGAAGCCGCGGCCGCACCGCCCGCAGACGTGCGGCCTCGCCGTGCCGTGAGTCCGCCGGTGCTTCGTCAGGTCCGAGGGCTGGTAGAAGGCTTTGCCGCACTCGCTGCACACGTTCAGACGCTCGCCCGTGTGCGTGCGCCTGTGGCGCTTCAGGTAGGAGAGCCACCGGAACTCTTGGCCGCAGTCGTCGCACACGTGCGCCCGGCTTTCCACGTGCGACGTCGGACGCCTCTCCGGTTCCCCGTTTGCTGGCGACGCTTCGATGGAATCCCCGCGCGCTCGGGCGGGTCCTTCGGCGGAGGGGAGCGCGCGCAGACGCTCGACCACCTCCCCCGATGCGCTCTCCCCACGTGAGCAAGAGCGCTCGCCGACCTGCGTCGCCGCCTGGCTCTCGCCGACGAACCCCGGAGGCTGTACGGCCGGCTCCCCTCGCTTGTCGCCAGCGCACCATCTTCCACGGGAGGGGTCCTCGCTTTGGCGTGCGATGGACGCCTTTGGGGGCTCCTCGCGTTCAAGGGGACTATCTCCGCTCCGCTCCTCGCCGTGCCCCTCCACACATTCTCCGCTCGCGAACGCTCCTCCCGCTCCTCCTCCCACCCCGGGCTCCTCGTTGCGGTGCGCGTCGACGACCCCTCCCCGCGTAGCCGGCTCCCTCGGCCGCCTCGTGCGCGCGTTCGGCCTCCCCGCGCCGTGCACCTTCTGGTGCCTCCTGAGATCGGACGCCTGCAGGAAGGCTCGGTCGCACTCGGCGCACGCGTGCGGGCGCACGCCTAGGTGCGCCCTGCGGTGCCGGTTGAGCGAGGAGGCGCAGGCGAACGCCTGCCCGCACTCTGTGCACACCAGCTCCCTGGAGGCGTCGCGCCGCCGGTCGTCACCGTCCGGCGTCGCCGCCGCCGCCGGCGGTGGTGGCGCCTCGCTCTCCTCCAGAACGGCCGGCCGAGAAACCGCTCCTTCCGACGACGCCGCCGACGCCGGCGCCGCGCCCGGTCGCTCGGTCGCATGCAGCCTCCGGTGCCTCCTGAGGTCCGAGGGCTGGGAAAATCCCTTGCCGCACTCGGCGCACGCGTGCGGCCTGTCGCCCGTGTGCGTCCGCCGGTGCCGCGTCAGGTAGGAGAGCCACCGGAAGCCCTGGCCGCACTCGGTGCACACGTGCGCTCCGCCGCCCCCGCCGCCGCCGCTCTCGCTGCCGGGCCCGGGTGCCTCGCGCCCCTCGGCGCCCGTTGGCGAGACGCCCTCGCGACCGTCGCCCGCGGGAAGCTCGTCCGGCGCGGGCAGAGCTGCCGCGCGCCGCTTGGATTCGTGGCGTGGGGGCACCTCGTCCGCCTCCCTGTCGAGGGGCTCATCCGGCCGCGGCGAGCCCAGCGTCTTTACGTCGGGGCGTCCGTCCCGTTGGGCGGCGAGCTCCGCGGCTCGAGCAGAGCCCCTCCCGCGCTCCTCGCCGCACACGTCCCCCCGAGCGCCCTGGTGCGACGAACGGGGTGGGGCCTCCTCCCCGCTTTCCTCCCAGGGCGGTGGCCCCCGGCCGTTGGGCGCCTCGGGGTCCGGTCTCTCCCTGTCGTGAATCCCCAGGTGCTTCTTGAGGTTCGACGACTGGTAGAATCCCTTGCCGCACCGCCCGCACATGTGCGGCCGCTCGCCCGTGTGCGTCCTGCCGTGCCTCTTCAGGTACGACGGCCACCGGAAGCCGCGCCCGCACTCCCCGCACACGTGCGCCCCGCCGGCGCCGTCGTCGCGCCGCCTGCCATCCCCCGCCGCGTCCGTCGGCTCCGCCGCCCCCGGCGCGTCGGGGCGAGCGTTCGGCCGCCGCCCGCGGTGCCTGCGGAGGCCCGAGGGCCGGCGGAACGCGCGGCCGCGCTCGCCGCGGTCGCTCGCCCTCTCGCCCGCGCGCCGGTGCCTCCTCGGGTGCGGCCGGCACAGCTTGCCCGAGCGGATCTTGCGGCGGCGCGACAGCTTGCTCGGCGAGGGGAGCGCGCTCCCACGCTCGCCGCCGTCGTGAGACGCCCGGTGCTCGATAAGTTCCCCGTGCGACGGGAACGCCCGGTCGCAGGCGTCGCACAGAAAGAGAGTCGTCGCCGGCGTCCCTTCGGCCGCGGCCGCCCCCCCCCCTCCGGCTCCCTCCCCCGGCTGCGCCGACGCCGACTGGCCCAGCGGCCCGCGCGCGTGTCCCTGGCGGTGCCGGGCCAGCTCGCGTTGCCCCGAAAACACCTCCCCGCACTCGGCGCACACCGCGCGGCGGCGATGGCCGGAGAGCACGTGCCGCCGCTCGTGGCTCCGGAGGTAGCAGAGCCAGGGGAAGCCTCTGCCGCAGACCCCGCACAAGTGGCGCCGGCCCTCGGCGCTCGCCCGCCCGGGACAAGCGCGGCCACCGTCGGCCGTCGGCGACTTCGGGCGACGCGGCTGGCGGTGCGATTGGCAGCGCGTCCGCCGATCGCGGTCCGAGGTCAAGATCTGGCCGCGCTCCCGGCACGGACGCTTAATGCCGTGCAGCTGCGCGTGCCTGCGCAGGCCACCGATGCTGACGAAAGTCTTGCCACAGTCGAGGCACGGGTGTTGCTGCCTCTTGCTGCGTCCTGCCAGTGATGGGGGGGAACGAAAGAAATGACGATTCTTCACGCCAGTGGTTCTCGACCGGGGGGGTGGAGTATGCGGACCCCCGGGGGGGGGTACACGTGGCAACAATGTCCTAGGGGGTACAGTGAGGCGATTTATAAATGTGTGTAATTATACCGTACGTGAGGGTCGTTGGCGAATAATCATGTGTGCGAATCTGCCGATATAAAATGGTCTAGCTATAATTTGTGGGCAGGTCGCTTCTGAAAAGCAGTTACACGTGGCTCAATTCTGTAGCACTCACCACCACCAACGCCGCCACCACCGTCATCACCGTCGCTGTCCTCCAACTCCACCTCCACCTCGGCCCAGCCCTGGGAGGAGGCGTCTCGCTCTCCCCGCGAGTCCCCACTCACCTCCACCGCATTCCCCGCGTCAACTCCTCCCACCTCCGAGCCTTGAAAGGGGCCGAGGGTTGGAGGGGACCACAGTCAGAATATTGATTTATACTTTTTCGCGGATGTCCAGTTGTGGCGGGTAAGAATGTTACAACAACAAACAACACAAAGAGACGATAGGAGTGCAGAAGCGCATCTGAAAGCGCGCGATGATGCGGTGACCGACTTTGTTTGATGGCTAGCCAAAAAGCCGCCGCCGCTGCGAGGATGACCGGAGTTCGCGTGACGATGGTTTATGCTTCCTTGACAAAATCAGCAAAGGTATTGGGGTTCTTTTGTGGAAAGCACTTTGTGCGGTGTAATGAGCACAATCTTATCACATTGAATGATTGTCGGTATCAGAGTTCGAGGGAGGGGAGGGAAGCAAGCGCTCTGTGTGTCCCCTCTCTCACCTACGGACTCCTCTTGCTCCTCGCACTTCACGATGACGGCCGCCTGCACCTCGGGGCGCGACTCCTCTTCCCGCTCCTCCTTGATGAGCAGCGACGCTTCTTCCTCTCGCCCAGGGTCACGTGCAGCAGCAGCAGCAGCGCCAGCAGCCGTAGCTATGTCCATGGCACCGCGAGACGTGGGGGGGCTACAGCCGAGGTTGGCAACCTTTCGAACAAGAGACATTTTTTGTTGTTTTTGTCTTTGACCAAAATAGTTTGAGAGCTGCATCACACGCAGAGTTACCTGTGCACGCAAACATCGCGCACTGCAGAGCAACCTGTATATGCGTCAGAGGTCGCAAACGGGTTTTAATTCCTTACCCGTACCCGGCCGCACCAGGGTCACAAATGGGTACCCGTACCCGGCGGGTACGGGTACCCGTTCCTTACCCGTACCCGTACCCTACCCGAAATGAGTGACAAACGGTTACTCACCAGTGACTCACGGCCTACCCGTACCCAGGCCGCACCAGGGTCGCAAACGGATACCCGTACCCGTACCCGGCCAGGTACGGGTAGCCGGGTATCGAGTAGGGTACGGGTATCGGGTACCCGGTTGCGACCTCTGATATGCGTACCTAACTCGTTCGTAAGTAGAGGAGTTCCTGTATACTCTGTACATACATCGCTCCCGATTGCGACCACAGGACCGTCTGGAAAACGTTGTCTTCGGACTTTAGCGAGGGGATTTCTGGGTAATCACGCGGAATATCATCGCCACCGCTGTTCAGTTCAAATGATCCGATGCTGCCGCTGATACGCTTTGAGTGGTGCACAAACACATGAACAGAAACTCAACCCATTCGTTTCAATAATCACAGTGTGTGTGTGGCTTTGTACAGGAACAATAATCGAGGTTTCGGGCAAGCACCCTTATTCATAGCATATACGCATTGGTTAAATTTCGATTTAAAGCTTTCGTGACTGCAGGGATTCATTTTCTTGGTTCTTTCGGTAAGGTCACGTAGAAGGGAAATAATAAAATAATAAAAAGAAAACATAATAAAATAATGTAACATAATATAATTATATAAGAAAACAATAATATAATATCATCATATAAAAAAAATGGATAATAAACCATTTTTTTTATTTTACCAGGTAAGGTCCCACTATGCTACGTAGCAGCTCTTTTTAAATCCTTTATATTAAGTTCACTTGCTTGTTTGCTTGCTTACGACCGTGCAAATCTTCCGGTCGTTTTTAACCCACTTCCCGTGATCCAATCGAGCTGACATTTTCCACACAAACTCGTTGCGCGTTACAATTAATGTTCGTGAAAAAAAATTCCAACATTTTACACTTTTTAGGACAAAAATATTATATTTAATTACCAATTGCTTAATGGTGCCATGCAATCATCTGACCCATAGGTGGCAGCCATCTCAAGCCAGAGGACGAGAGGACTCTAGCCGCCAAACTTTGTTTTTACGGGTTATACTTGTTCAGAAGCAAACCGGCTATCACAGATGATAGCCGCTCAACAAAGTGGCGGCTTTTCATCATCACCACGTGAACATTTATAGCAGCAACCAAATCATATAAACGCGTGACGTTGATTCTAAATGCGGAGGGGAAAATCCGGAGAAAATCCACGCGACCACGGGGAGAGAGACACGCACTCTAAATATACAGGGGAAATCGTCAGGGTCGGGATCGAACCCACGACCTCCTGCACACCAGGCGAGGTAGTTAACATCTCCTAGCCACCGTGATGATGATGAGAGAGACGCAAACTCAAATAGACAACAGCAGGTGTCTGTCAGGGTCGGGATCGAACCCACGACCTCCTGCATACCAGGCGAGGTAGTCAACATCTCCTAGCCACCGTGATGATGATGAGAGAAAGACGCAAACTCAAATCTACAGCAGCGGGCATCGTCAGGGTCGGGATCGAACACACGACCTCCTACATACCAGGCGAGGTAGTTTACATCTCCGAACCACCGTGATGATGATGAGAGAGAGACGCAGACTCCAATTATACAGCAGCAGGCATCGTCAGGGTCGGGATCGAACCCATGACCTCCTGCACACCAGGCGAGGTAGTCAACATCTCCTAGCCACCGTGATGATGATGAGAGAGAGAGACGCAGACTCCAAATCTACAGCAGCAGGCATCGTCCGGGTCGGGATCGAACCCACGACCTCCTGCACATCAGGCGAGGTAGTCAACATCTCATAGCCACCGTGATGATGAGAGAGAGAGACGCAGACTCCAATTATACAGCAGCAGGCGTCGTCAGGGCCGGGATCGAACCCACGACCTCCTGCGTACCAGGCGAGGTAGTCAACATCTCTTAGCGAACGCGACCAGGTAACATAATTGCATGGATTTTTCTGCACTGCTCTGCACCGCCTGCAAACGTGTGACAATCGCCAACATCGGCAATCAAACAAAGTCATCACTCACGAGAGCGAAAGAGCGGTCGGGTGATGTAAATCAGTGACGGACCCGAGCTCCGAGGGTGCCCGGCGTCTGGTTCCCCCCCCCCCCGGGTAGGTGGACGAAACTTGGGCAGCGAATCCAGGCGAGGCCGAGGCTCGAGGCCCAACCACGGCGCGGTGTCTCGGGCTGCTTTGCTCAGCGGCGAACAGAAGCGAAACGATGTGGCAGCTTCAAGCTCTGCAAGAGGTGGGGGGGACTTTAGTTAATGCGAGGGTAGCTGTGGTGTGTGTGTGTTTCGTTAGTTCGGGGCTAACATACTTCGCCATAAATAACCAGACGCCAGCAGCTTCCAGCCTGTCGCTTGTTGCTAGGCCATGCCCGGTTGACCACGCCTACAGCCAACCACGTGGTCCGTCTGGGGGTATGGGGCCGCCCATAAATGACGTCACGCGATTGAGAAGATTTTTTTGACCCCCCCCTCCATGGTTGACAGTGTTAGTCTATGGGCAGTGTGAGCCTATGAATGTTAGTCTATGGGCAGTGTGAGTCTATGGGCAGTGGGAGTCTATGAATGTTAGTCTATGGGCAGTGTTAGTCTACGAGAAGTGTTAGTCTACGAGAAGTGTTAGTCTATGAATGTTAGTCTATGGGCAGTGTTAGTCTACGGGCAGTGTTAGTCTGTGGGCAGTGTGAGTCTATGAGCAGTGTTAGTCTATGAGCAGTGTTAGTCTATGGGCGGTGTGAGTCTATGGGCAGTGTTAGTCTATGGGCAGTGTTAGTCTATGGGCAGTGTGAGTCTATGGGCAGTGTTAGTCTATGGGCAGTGTGAGTCTATGAGCAGTGTTAGTCTATGGGCAGTGTTAGTCTATGGGCAGTGTTAGTCTGAGCAATTTTCTTGTCGTCGTCCGGCGAGATTCAGAGTAACAGCTCCAATCTCACATTCAGGTGGTAAAGCCACAGACCTCAGCGTCATCAGCAACAGTAGCGGAGTAGTGAATCATCATCATCGTCGCTGTGATGATGTCTCTTCCTTCGTATTTGTGTATCGAGGGCATTGCCTCATTACGCGGTGTGTACGGTCTCTGGTCTGGATGACCACAGTCATGGCACCGCTACTACAACTGGAGAGAGTTTGTCATTTTCCATTTGTGCATCAGCCATCATCCGCTGCTGTATGATTTGTGCAGTGGCTGATGCGATTTATGGTGGACCATGGAGCAGCTTCGTGGAAGATCAAACCCCAGGGGATCTTCTGCGTTGGCTCTTTCACTATTGAATGAAGATGATAACTCATAACAATGTAAGAAAAACAAACCAATAACAAATATCTATAGTTAACAAAAATTTATTGAACATTTGAATACAAATACTACTTCTGGCCACTTAGCCATTACCAAGAAAATGAGGTTACAGATATTTCATCATAAGCAATTAAAACCAACACGATTGTATATTTGTTTTTTTTTTACAAATAAGAACACGTCAACAAACATGTCAAATACTACCCAAGCTGGTCACGAGCATTTCAGCCCATCGCCGGGCAGCTGACTTTCTCACAGTTGTACATCAACCGTTCAAGCAAACGCGGCCATTTTTCTTTTTACAAACAACAAACATGATGGCGGCCCTCTGCAAGTTAACGATCGTCAATATCGTTCTACCGGCGGCTATGACGATGGCCGCACTGTGGTCGCGTCGATTTGGCCAAAAAGAAAATGTACAGGAAGACGGAAAACTCTCGCAAAGCGAATCTCTTGCAGGTAAGAGCTGCGGACGAGCTAAAACAAATCAGAGGCCCATTGCGGTGAGGCGAAATCTTCGAGAGGCGAATTGCATCACGGGATGACGGAGCCGTATACAGGCGAAAAAGAAGTGGGGACATTAATTGCACACGCAATTGGGGCCCTAGAAAATATACAACAAAAGATAACGTGTGTAAAATGGTAAGTCTTCGAAAGTAAAGTCAATCACGACATTGCAACATGTGTCTGTGGTTGTTTTTTGTACATCCCCTTGTGTGCTTTTTCCCCGGACATCACGTCTGTTTTTTTTTCTCTCGAAATCGAAAGTTTTCCAACTAAGGTTGAAAGCTTTAACGCACCATAACTGAGTCCATCGATCCGTAAAAAGATTATCCAATACGAGCCAAACTGTAGCATCAAGCCGTGGTGCTAATTTGGACCTATAGAAAACTGACCAAAATCGATCAAAACAGATTCCCAAAAGTTGGAGATAACCCAGAGCAAACAGGAATATCTGAAAATGCAGCACTCCACATGAGGTTTTTGGGTTCTATCGCGTACATATAAATGTGGCGTTAAACCCGTAAACAAAATGTGGCCAATTCGTTACTAGAACAGCACTAACCGCTTGTGTGTTGGGGAATAAACCCACTACAACACTACTCTTTGGTTATTTTGGTAAAGTCACGGTAGAAAGTGAAAATAAATGAAATAATAGCATACGACGTTTCGATTGCAACACAAGCAGTGATAAATGAAAGAGAAAACAAAACCTAGTAAACTTAGAAATATAATGGAACACAACACAGATAGTCGGCTAACATAACAGTCAACACTCTACCTGGTTGATTACATTCTTCCAAAGAGAGATATTTTTTTAATATCTCTCTAAAATTTAGCAATCTTTGTTGACTTATGTTAGCCGACTCTCTGTGTTGTATTACATTATAATTCTAAGTTTACTAGGCTTTGTTTTCTCTTTCATTTGTACCTGACGATGATTGCTTGTGTTGCAATCGAAACGTCGTATGCTATTATTTAATTAGTTATTTTCTCTTTCTACCGTGACTTTACCAAAAGAACCAGAGAGTAATTCCTGCAGTTACGAAAGCGCCAAATCAAGTTTTTTTCCCCACTACAACATTTACAAATACTCTCCAACATTTTCACCATTGGAACCTCATTTGCCAGGAGCAAAATATGATAATAGTTTTTTTTACCCATTTATCTGGCAACAAAACGGACACTTTTTTTTTTACAAGGAGTCATGTTTGCATTGACCACAATACCTGCAGTCGGAATGCAAAAAAAAACATAACTCTGATAATGTATGCACTGTCCTTGAAATTGATTGGTCCACACCCGAGACAGCTTTCTTTAGAGCCTAGTCTCACATGGTGTCAGTTTTGTTGCCAGATAAAAGGGTAAAAAAACAATTATCATACTCTCCAAAACACTACCGTTGTGCTGAAGTAGTAACGAATTGGCATGTTCTGTTTACGTGACAAACCTTACTAATTGGCTGTGTCGGTGGTGGCGGTTTTAACGACACATTTATATTTACACGATCTAACCCAAAAACCTCTTATGGATAATATTGATGGCGAAAACCAAATTACAGACACTCCTCTATGTACGAACACTCGACTTATAAACTTTCAGAGATACGAACAAACCCGCCTGTATGTCCAGTTGCCTGTTCAGACCAAGAGTCTTAAGTTCAACCGCTGCGCAATAGATGGCAGTGGTGGCATCTACATCTGCAGAATGTGAAGAACCAATGGCATCTACATCTGCAGAATATGAAGAACCGGTGGCATCGACATCTGCAGAAATATGAAGAACCAGTGGCATTTACATCTGCAGAAGGTGAAAAACCAGTGGCATCTACATCTACAGGACATGAAGAACCAGTGGCATCTACATCTGTAGAACGTGAAGAACCAGTGGTATCTACATCTACATGACATGAAGAACCAGTGGAATCTACATCTGCAGAACGTGAAGAACCAGTGAAATCTACATGTGCAGAACGTGAAGAACCAGTGCCATCTACATCTACAGAATATGGAGAACCAGTGGCATCTACATCTGTAGAACGTGAAGAACCAGTGGTATCTACATGACATGAAGAACCAGTGGCATCTACATCTGCAGAATGTGAATAACCAGTGAAATCTACATTTGCAGAACGTGAAGAACCAGTGCCATCTACATCTACAGAACATGAAGAACCAGCGGCGTCTACATCTACAAGATATTACGCAACTTTTAAAGCCATTCCCCGTGTTTAGTGTACATGATGTACAACACGTTTGGAATCGACAGTAGTAAAGTTGGACTCGCGATCAAATCGACCTACGAACCACAGACCTCTGGAACTTCATTCGTAAGTAGAGAGATCCCTGTATACCAGTTTGTTTTCCTTCCAGACAGCTACACATTGGCCCCCGTACTGTGAATTAAAAACTTCTGAAAACGAACGCATGTTGGAAAGCTTTCCAATAGGCCATGCATACGCACGGTTTTTCCTAACTCGCATAACGTTCGATTTAAAGCTTTCGTGACTGCAGGGATTCATCTTCTTGGTTCTTTCGGTAAAGTCACGTAGAAGGGAAGTAATAAAATAATAAAACATAATAAAATAATTCTCACGTTTCGGCCACAACGCAAGCAGCCGTCCTCAGGTGACAGCTGCTTGCGTTGTGGCCGAAACGTCGTGAGAATTATTTTATTATGTTTTATTTTTATTATTTTATTACTTCCCTTCTACGTGACTTTACCGAAAGAACCAAGAAGATCGCATAACGTAATTTTACTCTTCGCCTATCCCATAAGAGTACGAAATAACAATGACTATGCCCTACAATGGTTCGTCATTGTCCATTTAACTTGGGGCACGAAAAAAACACATTTCATGATTGAATTCTTGCGTTCATAAAAGTAGTTATATACACTCTGCAGAACTAGAATAAGTTAAATTCCCGAATTCAGATTAATCTGTATGACATGATGCGCACACGTAGTTTGTACCACTTGGTTTTCTTTCTCTCATGTGTGGTATTGTGTGTGTGTGTGAAGAATGCATGTTATATAGCATTTGTTACAGCCGAGGCAATACCCCAGATCTGGGCGAAACTTCAATCCCGTATTGAGCGTCGCAGAAGTTTGAAGTCACTGGGGCTGCTGCATGATTTTGTGAATGAGGAGGTTAAAAGTCAATCGCCGTCACTGAATTGTAAAGAGTCGGTGTACGGATCAGAAATTTAAGAGACACTTGGAACACAATTTTAGCTCAAAAGTGTGCAAAAAAAACACATGGGACAAACATTTTTTACAATTGAAATGATAAAGAGTCAATCGCATAATCTGTAGGAGTAGCTTCATAAAGACTTAAATCGTTCAAAACGACTAATTGATTTTACACGCTATACTTTTATTCTTACACATTCAAATTGTTGACTTTGTCGAACTCGAAGAGACCAGGACAACAACAAAGATCCCCCGTGTCACCTTAATAGACTGTTGGGGTAAGTGCTGTTAGCACCTACAAAGGCTGGCACGGCACACGAGGGGGTGGGTGGCCAACACCCTGCCCGACCACCTTTGTCTCCCGAGTGGCGATGTTTACACACCGCACCAGGTACTCATTTTGAGGCTGAGTCGATCAAGGGGAGGCTCAGGACCGGTTCAGATAATCGTCGCTGGTGTTGGCCGTGAGCGGGAATCGAACCTGGGTCGCAGAGTTTGTAGCGCAGCGCGCTAACCGCTACACTACCGTTCCCCACAAAACACCACACACACAGACACACAGACATGATCCCTTCTGTGAACATCACTGCTGGTACTATACATTATGAGCTGCTAAAACTGCACTTTCCTAATTTTTTGTCTAATTTCACATATAGCTTGAGCTTTAGGCTGCAACATCAAGTGCAGCTATTTTACCTTTATGAACTATATTCGTAATTTCACGTCTTGCGTATGAGGCTGCCTCTACTTGATCAATTTGCATAAACCATCGAATTCTGGTCATCATCTTTGCAGAAGCGGCAGCGGTGGCTTTTGGCTACACCGTCAAGCGAAGACCGTCATTACCGCATCCCGCGGCGCTTTCTGATGCGCCTCTGCGGCCGTCCGGACCGCTCTTCCTTGCGATGTTAGGAAGCCACTGGAGCTATATGCCACTTTTAAATCATCATCTAGATCGACAAACTAATTTCTTTCGAACTGCTTGTTGTTGTTGTTGTTTAGTTCACTGCCCACCCCCCTGAACTTCAGAATAGCGCGGTTGGCTACGTACGGTGCGAAAGAAGTTCAACGTACACGCATGCAATTTATTTAATCTACAGCTACAGTTCGGGGAGTAATTGCATAGTTAAGACCTTTAGATAATACTGATGTCACACTTTGTTATATAATTTACCATTAGCCATGTTAATCATGAAAGTATTATTGCCTGCGGAATTCTGTGTGTTACGTTCCTTATCAGATGATCAGTATGGGTAACAAAAATAATGACGACCTGCGGTTGGCAGTAAGACGCATGTTATTGCCTAAGATAACTTACAGATAGCCTACAAAATCAATGGAAGATGATCATTTACATTTATTTGCAAGGCACCTTCCACTAATGTGTCAAGGCGCCTTGTAAGAACAAGGATAAGGGAAGGCCAAGAGAGACAGAGTAAGCTAAATAGAATAAATGAGACTTACGAGGAGGATGTGGTTTTTAGACGAGACTTTAACAGTATCCACATTTTGATTTAAAGCTTTGGTGACTGCAGGGATTAAGATTCTTGGTTCTTTCGGTAAAGTCACGTAGAAGGGAAACAATAAAATAATAAAAATATAAAACAATAAAATTATCACGACGTTTCGACTGCAACACAAGCAATCGTCATCAGGTGTGAAATCCACAGCAAGAAAATAAAATAAAAAAGTTAAGAAAAAAACGCCACTTTTTTCAAATTTTCTTGCTGTGGATTTCACACCTGATGATGATTGCTTGTGTTGCAGTCGAAACGTCGTGAGCATTTTATTGTTTTATATTTTTATTATTTTATTGTTTCCCTTCTACGAGAATATAGTATCCACATTGTCGGATAAACGAATTTCCAGCGGAAGGGGAATTCCACAACCGAGGCACGGCAAGAGAGACATGACCAGCGATGTTGCTGTCCAATGCAGCCAAATCGAACACCGCATCTCTCGGAATGTATTAACCTTCGTCGCCTGATATCTGAATTTGGACGTACGCAATAAGGGCGAGGAGAGGATGATAAAACGAGGAATGCCAATATCGGGACAGCTGGGTTAACGTATGGAAGGCAAAAAGAAAATTACTTAAAAATATTCAATAAGTTACCCTTTGAAACCCGGGTGGCAACAGGGGTAACTAAATGGACCATACACTTGGATGCTCGGAGAAAACGAGAATAATGCCATTCATGGAAATGATAAGCTCATGAAAAATACTTCACAGCAAAGCTTCAAACGTGTTGCGGGCAAGCCTGGGTACACGTCATGAGTTGTTTGCATCTTGAAGCGGTGCAAGAGGAGAAATAGCCAATGTGGCCTTGCTTCATGGCGTGTCCGTCCGTTCGATGGATGTCCGTGGACGTCCGTGGACGTTCGCGCGCGCCGCAAACACCGCACGCACACGCCGCCCTGGGAACGAAAGGCAGTCGAGCATTCGAGCGGCGTCAGAGAAACTGAAACTGTCGTCTCACGGCGAGTCGTCGCCAATCCGCACCGTCCGGACTTCCGACGTCGGGTTTCGACGAACGTCCGTGAACGTTCGCGCGCGCACGCACGCACGCACGCACGCACGCACCGCCCCCGGCAAATGAAAGGCGGTCGTGCATTCGAGGACGTGAGAGAGAGAGGAAAAAAATGTCATCTCAAGTTATTTCCCAGAAACACGAGCCGGTCCACTTCGTCCACCGTAATGTGCGCCCTCCGCGCCGTCACAATGTCCCCGGCCGCGGTGAACACCCACTCGCTGGGAACGCACGTGCCCGGCACCCCGAGGTAGTGCTTGGCCGCGAGCGCCAGCTGTGGGAATTTGAACTCGTGCCCGGCCCACCAATCCAGCGGGTCCTCGTCCAACGCGATGGGCTCCTCCTGCTCGTACAGCTCCATTTCGGCGAGCACTTGGTCGCGCAGGCCGTTGGCGGCGGTACCCGAGCATCGAACGTCGCCCGCCCGGCCCTCCGCCCCTCCCCGCTTCCTCTCCTCCGCGGGGCTCCCGGCGGCGCGGCGGTCCCCCGCGGCGTCCCGCTTGGCCCGCCCGTCGGGCCGGAGCGCTTCGTGCAGCCCGACGGTTTTCCGGACGAGGGAGCGGCGGCAGAGGAGCCGCGTGGCGTCGTCCAGGTGGCTTTTGAAGCGCGCGTCGAGCACCGTGCTCTCCTTGAGGAAGTCCTCGACGTCAGCGGCGGCGTGGCGCCTCTCCACGCCGCCACGCACCGCCTTCTTGACGTCCCGCACCAGCTCGCTGTCGCCCCGCTCGGGCGCCATCGCCTCCACGACGCGCCGCGTGTACGGGTAGACGGTCGACACGGTGGGCCCTTTCTCCTCGCAGAGGGCGCGGGTGACCCACATGACGGGCTCCAGGGCCGCGCACACGTCCTCCGCGTCGGCCAGCGTCTCGTCAACGAGCGGCGGCAGCTCGTGGAAGAGGTCACGGAGGACCTCCTCGGACAGGACGCTCGCCACGATGGCCGGGTACTGCTCGACGTAGCACTCCAGCATCTCGTAGGCGCTGCTCCACCTGCCCGGCGCGTCGACCGCGAGCTCGCGAACCGGCAGGCCGAGCGCCCGTTGCCTGCCGTTGAGGACGAGCGTCGCCGCGACGCTCCGGCGGAAGAAGCCGACGGTGCGGCGGACCTCGGCCAGGAGGCGAGCCAGCGCCGGCACCTGCAGCCCCCTCTGCGCCGCGCGGTTCAGCGCGTGCGCGAAGCACCCGATGCGGGGCCTCAGCACCGACTCCCGGGAAGCTCCGGCGGTCCCGGCGGCGGTCCCGGCGGCGGCGCCGTCCGTCACCAGCGGGATGTAACCGTGCGGCCGGTGCAGGTTCCACTCGGCGGCCGTGGCGGCAAGGATGTCGGCGACGCGCGCGGCCCCCTCTTGCGTCGCCGCCGACGCCGGCGCCACCGACGCCGGCGCCGGGCCCCCATCGAGCGGCCGCGTGCGCAGCACGAAGCGCTCCAGCTTCCAGCCGGCGGTGACGAAGTGCGCCGCGACGGTGACGCACCGCTCGGCCGTGCCGGAGGTCCACACCTCGGAGGAGAGCGCCACGGAAGCGGCCCTCTCAAGCTCTTCATTCACGGCGGAGGCCACTTTGGCGTACAGGTCGGGGATGACGCGCTCGCTGAAGTGCAGCTTTGAAGGCAGCTGGTACCTGCGGGGGGCCAACAACGAAAGGGGCCGTTGTTAATCTTTGCACGAACCCGGTGCCGCTACCCGCCACCATCGCGCGGCGGCGCTCCGGCCGCTGTCCTCGCCGTGGCTTCGGATCGTTGCGCGGCGCTTTCGGATGCGCTGCCTCTGCGGCCGTCTGGAACGCTCTCTTTCTTCCGATGTTGAGAAGCCACTTGAGTTGTGCGTTGTTAAATCATCATCATCTAGGTTTAGAACTGCTTTCTATGTTTAGTTTGTTGTCCTTTCCCCCACGGTGCTAAAGAACTTCAACATATTAACATACAAGCTGGAGACCCAGCAGGATTTGTTCAACCGGCCTGGATTGCCGATGAGACCCTGAAAGTTGAAAACCATTTTGGAGTTTGCCTGCTGAAACGAAAGCTGCCGGACATTGGTCACAGCAAAGCCCATGGGGCCGATGGATTACATTTATTTTACTCTGATGATGCGGAGATAACTCAGGGAGGAGGAGTATTCATTGAACTTGTATGCAGATCGTTTGGCTGTTGCCTACATCATCAATTATCATTCCCGTTACGATGACGTACGGCACGTCAATGGAATTCATACTCTTTAGTCCTTTCGGTAAAGTCACGTAGGTGAAAAATTTAAAGAAATCAATTAAATCTTCTTGGTTCTTTCGGTAAAGTCACGTAGAATGGAAATAATAAAAGAAAACATAATAAAATAATTCTCACGACGTTTCGGCCACAACGCAAGCAGCCGTCCTCAGGTGGAGAACAGGTGTGTCGGGAAGACAGCGTCTGAATGAAACACCACCAGGCTTGGAGCGTCTATTTAAGCTGGGTTGGAGGGGAAAGAGCGCATTGGCAAAATAATTTCACCTGAGGCCGAAACGTCGTGAGAATTATTTTATTATGTTTTATTTTTATTATTTCCATTCTACGTGACTTTACCGAAAGAACCAAGAAGATGAATCCCTGCAGTCACGAAAGCTTTAAATCGAAATGAAATCAATTAAATCACGACGTTTCAGCTTCCTCTGACCCATGCCCCCCACCCCCACCCTCTCTATCCCTGGCTCCTCCCTCATCATCTATATCATCGTTTGTTACTAGCAGCTCTTTTGCCTACTTCAGCAAGTGTCTTTCTGTGGTTGTTCCCCATGTCGTGATTAAATGTTTTTTTCATTTTTCACCTACGTCACTTCACCGAAAAAACCAAAGACTATGGATCACGAAAACTTCAAATCGAGAGTCAATGGAATTGATTCCCAACGAATCTGAAGTGAAAGGCCGTGCGCGGGGGAGCCGAGTGCGGCACGGTGTTTTGTCGCCCGGCTATCGTAGAGCGGCGTGGCATTCGTGCCGCTTTGTTTCTCTGCGGTGAGCACCGACGTCTTTATAAACACGATGCAGCTGCTGCTGCTGCTACGGCTCTCGTTCCCACATTCCCGCGCACGTTCACTTACTTCGGTTCGAGGAACTGGATCAGGTCCTGGAACCCGACGTTGTCCACGACGCGAGGCCTCATCTCGAGCGCGACGAAACGCCCCACTTTCTCGGTGAGCTCCTGCTCCCTCCTCGCCGCTAGCCTCTGCCGCTTGAAGACGGCCGGAACGCCGGGCGGCTGTTCGTGCTCGGGCCTCGCGCCGGGGACGGTGCCCGTGGGTGCGCCGCTACCGCCGCCGTCGTAGCCGCCGCCGCCGCCGGTGCCGAAGACGTCCGGGTGCCAGCGCTGCAGGTGCTTCCTCATGTTGGTCGTGTTGTAGTACTTGATCCGCACGTCGCACACGCGGCAGACGGTCACCGTGCGGTCGACGGCGCCCGACTCGGACAGCGGGAAGCCAAAGTGCTCCCAGACGTCCGCCGTGCAGTGCGCCGGGGGCGGCGAGAGCATGGCGTGCGCGCTGGTGGAGACGGGCGGCTCGTCGTCCCACTCCAACGTCGTCACTTGAGGATTACAGAGAGAGACAGAGACAGACAGATAGACAGAACATGGGTCATCGTCCCACTCCACTACGGGTTTATACTCTTAAATAATAATAAAATAATATCTTCTTGGTTCTTTCGGTAAAGTCACGTAGAAGGGCAATAATAAAATAATAAAAATAAAACATAATAAAATAATTCTCACGACGTTTCGGCCACAACGCAAGCAGCCGTCCTCAGGTGAAGAACAGGTCTGTCGGGAAGACAGAGTCTCTGAAACCTCGTGATTTAATTGAGTTATTTTCATTTATTATTATTTTATTATTTTACCTACGTGACTTTACCGAAAAAACCTAAGAGTATGAATCCTTGCAGTCACGAAAGCTTCAAATCTAGAATGACGGGTTTATACATGAAATCGATTTAAATATCAATGGCATAATTAGCATCAACTGTAAATGATAATCCAATGTACCACGAGCAGAAGAACCGACTCACGAACCCGTCTATTCGAAAGCTGATGTAGATGGCAGAGGAAACGGCTACAATTTCATCACATTCACGTGGTCAAGCACAGACAACGTCAGCAACAGCAGCAGCGGAGGAGTGCATCATCATCATCATCATCATCGTCGCCGTGACGACGCCTCATCCGTGCCTGTGGATCGGGGCACTGCATTTCCCATAAATATGCTAAATTCTTCTTGATATGCAAATTCCTTTGTCAAGGCGCCCCTTCCCCCTTCCAACCGAGCTTAAATATACGCTGCCAAGCCTGGTGGTGCCCATTCAGACGCTGTCTTTCCGACAGACCTGTTCTTCATCTGAGGATGGCTGCTTGCGTTGTGGCCGAAACGTCGTGAAAATTGTATTTTATGATGTTTTATTTTTATTATTTTATTATTTCCCTTCTACGTGACTTTACCGAAAGAACCAAGAAGAAGACACTGCATCGTTATTTGGTAAAATCCTCGGAAAGGATTCGAACCACTCACCGGTGTCTTCCATCGTCTCTCCGTGCTCCCGCTTGACGACGTCCATGGACCCCTCGGACACTCCACCCCGTTGCCGTCCTCCGTTATCACCGCCACCACCGCCGCCAAACGCAACCTCGGAGCCCGGACGCGGCCTCGTCTCTGCCGCCGCGGCTCTGTCGAACTCTCCGCCGTACCCTCCCCCGCCGCGCCCCTCCCCGCCGCGTCGATCGCCGGGTGCTTTCCCGGCGTCGGAGACCTCCTGCGCGCCCCCCCACCTCCTCGCCGACAACTTGAGCAGCTTGCAGATCGCCGGCACGCCGCTTGACCGGCCGTGATGCGGCCTCGAGCCGGCCAAGGCGGCCGGCACCGCGCCCGCCTCGAAACCGCCCCCGGCGCCCGCGGCGCGGAAGACGTCCGGGTGCCAGCGCTGCAGGTGCTTCCTCATGTTGGTCGTGTTGTACTTGATCCTCACTCCGCACACGCGGCAGATTGTCATGGATCGGTCGACGGCGCCCGACTCGGACAGCGGGAAGCCGAAGTGCTCCCAGACGTCCGCCGTGCAGTGCGCCGGGGGCGGCGAGAGCATGGCGTGCGCACTGGTGGAGACGGGCGGCTCGTCTTCCCACTCCAACGTCGTCACTTGAGGATCAGAGAGAGACAGACAGAGAACATGGCTCATCGTCCCACTCCACTGTGACTTCAAGATCGAAATGCACAAGGCTTAGGGGAGGGGGTCAGTTGGTTGGTTACAGATATTTTGTAATGGGCGTTGTTGAGTGTATGGTGCAGTGTTGAGTCTATGATGCCGTGTTGAGTCTATGGTGCAGTGTTGAGTCTATGGTGCAGTGTTGAGTCTATGGTGCAGTGCTGAGACAATAGGTGCAGTATTGAGTCTATGGTGCAGTGTTGAGTCTGTGGGCAGTGTTGAGTCTGTGGTGCAGTGTTGAGTGTACGGGCAGTGTTGAGTCTATGGTGCAGTGTTGAGTCTATGGTGCAGTGTTGAGTCTATTGTGCAGTGCTGAGTCTATGGTGCAGTGTTGAGTCTATGATGCCGTGTTGAGTCTATGGTGCAGTGTTGAGTCTATAGTGCAGTGTTGAATCTATGGTGCAGTGTTGAGTCGATGGGCAGTGTTGAGTCTATGGTGCAGTGTTGAGTCTATGGTTCAGTGTTGAGTCTATGGTGCAGTGTTGAGTCTATGGTGCAGTGTTGAATCTATGGTGCAGTGTTGAGTCTATGGGCAGTGTTGAGTCTATGGTGCAGTGTTGAGTCTACGGTGCAGTGTTGAGTCGATGGGTAGTGTTGAGTCTATGGTGCAGTGTTGAGTCTGTGGGCAGTGCTGCTCAATGGAAAGGGAGTTCAAAATCATAATATTAATTGATACTGGAGAAATCCACTGATCTATGAAGCTCTTTTTCAAAGATGCACAGTAAGGGAAACAAATACACAATAGGAGTTCAAATTATAGGAAAAGTGATCAAATTATTAAAATATAACTATGCTTATTTTCACCAGGTAACGCCCACTGAGCTATTAGCTTATTTTTCAGAAGTCACCTGGCCACAAATGATAGCCCAATGAAGTGGCTTATGATGTAGAAATTTATAGCTGCAGCCAAATACTGTAAACACGTGACGTTTATTCTAAACGTGGAGGGAAAAAAACGGAAGACCCGGAAGAAAATCCACGTGAACATGGGGGGGGAGAGAGGGACACTGCAGACTCCAAACATACAGCAGGCATCGTGAGGTATAGGATCGAACCCACAACCTCCTGCACACCAGGCGAGGTCGTTAACATCTCCTAGCCACCGTGGCGTGCCCCCGATAGCGTCCAGCCAGAACGGAATGACAGCCACTCACCGGCGTCTTCAGCTTCCCCGTGCTCCTGTTTGACGGTGGCGAGGGACCCCTTGGGGGTGAGCAGAGTCTCGCACGCCGCTCCCTCCTGCCCTCCGTTGCTGCTGCCGAACGCGGCGACGTCACAACTCTGCCGTGGTGGCCTCCTCTCCGCCGTTGCCTCGGCTCCGTGGAACGCGACGACGCCACCGCCGCCGCCGTCATAATCTCCATCGCGAGCGCTCGGCGCGGCGGTCCGCGGGCCTCCGTCCGTCCCCAATCGTTTGCCGGCTGCCGGACCGGCGTTTGTAATCAGCGCGTAGCGCATCGTGTCCTGTCCGCGGCTCGCGCCGGCCTCGTCGGCGAACTCTCGTTCTCCCTTCGCCGAAAACTTCACCCGCTTGAAGATCAGCGGGATGCCGGCGCCCGCAACCGCGCCGGCCTCGCCGCCGCCTGCCGCTAGCGCAGTTGTAGCTGACGCCGGTGCCGAAGACGTCGGAGTGCCGCCGCTGCAGGTGCTTCCTCATGTTGGTCGTGTTGTAGTACTTGATCCTCACCCCGCACACGCGGCAGACGGTCACCGTGCGGTCGACGGCGCCCGACTCGGACAGCGGGAAGCCGAAGTGCTCCCAGACGTCCGCCGTGCAGTGCGCCGGGGGCGGCGAGAGCATGGCGTGCGCGTTGGTGGAGACGGGCGGCTCGTCGTCCCACTCCAACGTCGTCACTTCAGGCTCTAAGTGTGGAGGGGAAAAACCGGAGGACCCGGGGAAAAATCCACGCGACCACCACGGGGAGAGGCGTCAGGGTCGGGATCAAACCCACGACCTCCTGCATACCAGGCGAGGTCGTTAACATCTCCTAGCCACCGTGGCGCCCTTGAAAAATTTGCCAAGATCAAGCTCTCCATGCCTGCAAGGGTCACGTGGACGTCGGCGGTGTACAATTTAGATTTAGTTTCGTATTTTAGCCGTCCAGCGCTCCGTTCATTGCTGTGAACGTCGCTCCTCCGCCCTCCATTGTTGTTGAAGGCCGACTGCCTCCAACTGCCCAGTAGCGTCCTTCACGAGCCTCCTCCACAGAGGCCGATCTTGACACTGCTGGAACCAGTCATCGACAAGTCCACTCAGCTCCCTGTCCTCCTGTGCCACATCACTCCATCTCTTCTCTAGCCCGTATCATGCCCGTTTAGCCCCCTCTATCCAGCCAAACAAAAGCTGTTTAGGCATGCGGTGGCTTGGCATGTGGGCTACATGACCCAGCCAACGCAGCCTTGCCTGCCGGAGGAACTCACCGATGGTTAATCCCAGGATGGAGGAAGGAGGGCATGACCGTGGCAGAGAAGACCCAAAGCTTCGTATGGAGTGACAGACCAGGTAGCTTCCACACAGCATTACGCAGCCGATTAAAAGATAATGCCGCCTGACTAATTTGGAGCGAGTCCTCTGCTGTCAAACCGGTGCTGGTCATAAGCACAGCGCCCAGGTATGGGAAACTCTCTACTCTCTCTACAACTGTTCCATCATCAATGGGGAGCTGAGGGGGTGGAGTGTTTGATGGCACAATATACTCAGGCAGGTGCTTAGTTTTGGTGGGGCTGATGGTGAGACCCCATCTCTTAGTGGCACACTCCAGGTTCAGCAGCAGTGCCTCCAACTCCTCCTCCGAGTGAGCAGCAATCACCAGATCATCAGCATACATAACCAGGTCAATAAAACAGAGATGTAGGTCTTGTTGGAATTCCCTGCACCTCTGCTGTAGCAGGGGTACAAAGAATATGGCATCCGTGCAGGACCGCCCTGGTCTGAAACCACATTGGGGCTCCGCAAGCCTCTCCTCAGGGTGCCTAGCAAGGCGATGTTGAATAATCCTTGCGAGGATCTTTTCCGGCACACTGAGAAGAGAGATGCCCCTGTAGTTGTTATAGTCTGTGCGGTCCCCCTTCTTAAAGAAGGGGACCACCAGGGCATCCGTCCAATCCTGCGGAACCCAAACCGGGTCCAGACAGTTGTGACGATGTCATGTAGGGCAGTCTGCACACAGATGCCACCCTCCCTCAGCATTTCGCTTGGGAGATCATTTTTTCCCGGCGCTTTTCCTGGTCTCAGACTCTGGATTTCTCTTCATACTTCTCCGCAGGTGTCACCTCAGCCAACCACTCAGAAGGGGTGGCTCAGTCTGCCAAAATTTGAGGCACAGCAGCCCTAGCAGCGTCGTCGCCACCTTGCCCCATGATGTCTGGGCTGAGGGAATTCCCTCCCCCAAGACCTCACAGAAATGCTCTGCAGACCTGCAGACCTGTTCCCTCACTGTTCTTTCCCTTAAGGATGGTGATAGGTGAGGCGCTGCAAGTTCATATTTTTTCATGGAATTCGACGGTGATTTATGATTGCGGGCCACTGAGGCAGAATCCATCTGCTCAGCAACCCACGCCCACCACTCATCCTTGCAGCGCCGCACAACAAAGGCTGCTGTAGATGACAGAGAAGTGGGCCCGTTGTTTTCTCTCAACCAGCCGGACCATTTCCTTTCTTCAGCCAGGGTCTCTGGATAGGTCAGGACCGCGTACCCAAAACAGCCATTGCAGCTGCATGAGCCACAGTCCTAAACCTCACTCCTGTCTCCTCAGCATCAGAGGAGGGGTGGGGGGATGATGCCAACCCAGCTGCAATCGATGTTGAAATTCCTGCTTGCAACTATCCTCAGCGAGGTGAGAATCAGGCCAAATGTGGCTTTGAATGGGGTCCTAGATGGACCCCCACCACCAGGGTGGAAGAATTGCAGGCGCATCTTTCAGATGACAAGCCAATAATCAGTGGGCAGATCAGCTCCACGGTAGGTCCTTGTGTCAAGGACATGGGCCCGCATTCACTGGTCCGTAATTATGTAGTCCAGCAGATGTCCTTGCTTGGACCCGGCGTGCAGCCATGATGTTGTGTGGATACGTCGATGCCGGAACAGCGTGTTGGTAATTACAAGCCCATGCGCTGCACAGTCTGGCAGCATCCTGTTACCGTTGTTATTGAGCTGATCTGGCCAATGCCTTTCGATCACTCCAACGCAACATACATACACAGAGAGCCAGAGACTCACAGATTAGCACGGTTGGCTACATGTGGTGCGAAAGACGTTCAACACACATACATTGTGCTAGTCTCACGATGTTAATCTCTTTCATGACGTTTGGCGATTGGACGGATTAAAATTTCTCATGTAACAGGACCAGGACCAGTCTCCCCTCTAGCTCCAGTTGGCATTTTACGAACACTTTTAATCGCTCGTGATGACCTAGGTCATAAGAGTTTAACACGTAGGAACGAAACAGGAGGATTTCTCCACAAATCTGGCTGTAGCCTGATGAAGCTAGTTGTAATTACTGGCGAAACGTCGTACTCAGATTGTAAATATTGCGGCTTTGCTCTCCAATTGGCACGTTCTGTGTACGTTACGTGGAAACCATCGTGGCTGACGATATCAGCGGCAAATACGAGTGTGGCAGTCGTTACACTCGGCCTGTTCATATACGTTCGGAGAAATAAAGCCCCGAAACTCACCTCACGTACCCCCTGGGACATTTCCACGTAACCGCAGGGGCCCGAGTAACCCCCGCTGTGGGACCACCGGTCTACAGCGTCCGGCCAGAACGGAATGACAGCCACTCACCGGCGTCTCCAGCTTCCCCGTGCTCCTGTTTGACGGTGGCGAGGGACCCCTTGGGGGTGAGCAGAGTCTCGCACGCCGCTCCCTCCTGCCCTCCGTTGCTGCTGCTGAACGCTGCGACGTCACAACTCTGCCGTGGTGGCCTCTTCTCCGCCGTTGCCTCGGCTCCGTGGAACGCGCCGCCGCCGCCGTCATAATCTCCGTCGCGAGCGCTCGGCGCGGCGGTCCGCGGGCCTCCGTCCGTCCCCAATCGTTTCCCGGCCGCTGGACCGGCGTTTGTAATCAGCGCGTAGCGCATCGTGTCCTGTCCGCGGCTCGCGCCGGTTTCATCGGCGAACTCTCGTTCTCCCTTCACCGAAAACTTCACCCGCTTGAAGATCAGCGGGATGCCGGCGCCCGCAACCGCGCCGGCCTCGCCGCCGCCGCTAGCGCAGTTGTAGCTGACGCCGGTGCCGAAGACGTCGGAGTGCCGCCGCTGCAGGTGCTTTCTCATGTTGGTCGTGTTGTAGTACTTGATCCTCACCCCGCACACGCGGCAGACGGTCACCGTGCGGTCGACGGCGCCCGACTCGGACAGCGGGAAGCCGAAGTGCTCCCAGACGTCCGCCGTGCAGTGCGCCGGGGGCGGCGAGAGCATGGCGTGCGCGCTGGTGGAGACGGGCGGCTCGTCGTCCCACTCCAACGTCGTCACTTGAAAGGCAGCGACAGACAAATAGATGCAGAGAGACAGACAGAGAACACAGCCCGGGGGAGGTGGGGGGTGGAGGTCAGTTTGTTGGTGAAAAACATTTTAAAAATTTCTACCCAGAATTCTTTGCACTTGGTTTGAATTCGTTCGACATGCGGCTATGTGGTCAGACATTGTGTAGTGGACTGTGGTGTGTACAGTGTGCACCACACAGGGATACACACGCACACAGGTACATACGGAGATACACACAAAGATGCAACACATTCCTGCGGAGGGAGCTGGTAGGAACGTTGGGTTGCTCGGTCAATGGCCAGGGTCAACGGCGGCGTGGTGTATTCCGCAAATATGGCCGACTGTGAGGGCGGGCACAAGCCGGCGTGAGTAGGTTAAACGTTGAGTTTTATAAGGGCACCACGGGGTGACCAGCCCCTCCCCACCCAGCCCCACCCCTCCCACCCCCCACCCAGCCCCACCCTCCCCTCCCCACCCAGCCCCCCCACCCAGCCCCTCCCCACCTTCCCCTCTCTACCCAGCCCCACCCCTCCCATTTTTGGATGCACGACGGACGGACACAATAATCCCCTGTGGGCTGGTGTAACCAGGAGGTTCCTACCAGTAACATTGTGCGTGTACTGTGTGCACTACTCAGCAGGCAGCTGTCTTGCACACAGAGATACAACGACGCCCTGTATGGCCTTAACAGACTGTAGGAGCAAGTGCTGTTAGCGAGGAGCATCTATGAAGGTCGAGAATGTGGCATACGATGGGGTGGGTGACGCCTGCTGCTGTATATTTCGAGTTTGCGTGTCTCTCTCTCCCAGTGGTCGCGTGGATTTTTCTCCGGGTCCTCCAGTTTTTCCCTCCACATTTGGGTCAATGTCACGCTTTTAGAGTATTTGGATGCTGCTGCTGCTACAAATTTCCACACGATGGGCCACTTTGCTGTGCCGCCATCATTTGTGATGTCAGCTCACCGGGGCCTTACCTGGTAAAATAAAAATAGCTTAATTTAGATTGAACATGCAGAGTATTTTGGCTGCTGACTATAAATGTCCACGTGATGGTGATGGTGATGACAAGCCACTTCATTGAGCTGCTGTCAGTTTTGACAGCCAGGTCGGGCGCTTCACGTAACAAAAAAAAAAGTTAGGTAGTTTTCAATCTAGTAATAGGTTTTTACCCTTTCAACTGGTACAAAAACTGACACCTTTATACAAGGCATCATGTTTGCAATAACCACAACACAAGCAGTCAAAATGCAAACAAAAAGAAACAACTCTGATGATGATATGCAATGTCCTTGAAGTTGATTTGTCCACACCCGAGACAGCTTTTCTTAGAGCCTAGTCTCCATTGGTGTTGGACCAGATGACGCCAAAAGGCGTACAACTCAAAAACAGCGCACTATCAGAGTATTGAGAGCTCGGGGTAAGCATTTACACTATGAGACATCTCCTTTACCAGTGGCAAAATATAGTAATAGGTTTTTACCTTAAAAACTAGGGTAAAAACCTATTACTGTATTTTGCCACTGGTAAAGGAGGTCTCATAGAGTAGTTTTCAATCGTTCTTTGAGACGATAAGAACCACTCACCGGGGTCGTCGTCATCTTCTTCTTCGTCCTCCCCTCGTCGCCGCTTCACCGAGCCGGGCGACTCCTCGGACGCCCGGCTCTCCGGCCCTCCGTTATCGGCGCTCTCGAACGCAACCTCAAAACTCCTCCGCCGTTCCCGCCGGCGCCGCCGCCGCCTCCTCCCGTCGGCTCCGTCCAACACGGCGCCCGCCGGCGCGGGAACCGGCGGGCTCCCAGCGCCCGCCGCCCCCCCGGGGTTCGCGACCGGCTCGTCCGGCGGCTCCGCGCCCTCGTGTGTCCCGAGGGTCGTGAAGGCCCTCTTGTGGTCGCCGCGCTGTTGCCGCCGTGCCTCCGCCGCCGCGGCCTCCGCGACCGCCAGCCGCCCCTCGCCGCCGCCGGCGTCGGGCGCCAGGGGTCGCGCCTCGGTCTCCGAGAGAGCCGCCCCTTCCGCGGCGTGTAGGTCCTGGTGCTCCTTGAGGGTGTCGGGGTCGCCAAAGCCCAGCCAGCAGATGCCGCAGATGAACTTGTCGTCGGCGCCTTCGCGCTTCGCTCGCTCGCTCTTGACGGTGGCCCGCGGGCGCGCTCTGGGGGACGACCGCGTCCGGAGGTCGCCGCCTTCCCCCCGCCGCCTGTCGTCTCCCCGCGGCCATCGGACGTCGCCGTCGCGGCGGTCGACGCGGCCATCGTGGTTTTGCTCGCGAAGGCCCCGGCCGGAATTCTGGGATCGCGACGCGGCAGGGAGTCGCTCGCGCGAGCCAGTGGGGTGCAACGCCAATTCCGCCAGGGCCACCTTGTTGTCTGAGGTGAAGGGGTTAAAACAAACACCGATCTGTTTAGTGCAGGGTTCTTAAAAAAACTAGTGCCGAATTGGCCACGTTTTGTTTACGTGACGAGCCTTTACTAATTGGCTGCGTCGGGTGGTTTCGGGTTCGACGGCGCATTTATATTCACGCGATCCAACCCAACAAAACCTCTACTGTGGATAATATTGCTCGAGACAGCCCTACTATTAGTCAAGCTGTCCATTCGTAACTCGCAAAGCGGCGCAATCACCCTGCGCTAGAGAACAGCCCTGGGCAGGGTCCGTCACAGTGCCACCAACGTGGTGGTGCTCCCATCGGCCGCGACGCCAAAATAAAAGACGCGGTTCTAAAGAAACGAGTCTCCGATCATTCTTTGGTTCTTTCGGTAAAGTCACGTATAAAGATAAAATAATAAATTAAATTAAATACTAGCATACGACGTTTCGATTGCAACACAAGCAATCATCAGGTATAAATTAAATAGAAACACAAATCTAATAGACTTAGAAATGTAATGTAATACAACAGAGAGTCGGATAACATAACAGTCAACACCCTATCTGGTTGATTACGTTCTTCCTGAGAATGAAATTAAGTTTGAGTCTCCGATCGCGAGGATTCTGAATAAAGAGTCACGCAAAACGGCCACACTCACCGCCGCTGTCACCACCGTCCGCCATCGGCAAGCGAGCGCGGGCTGCCCTCTCCCGGGGGTCGACGTGTCCCTCCGAGTCGCACGTCCCGACGGACGGGCTGCTTTCTCCGTCTGGGGAAGCGAGTGAAGAAGAACGCGCGCGTCTGTTACAATAGTAGAAGTGATTTGTGTCTTTCTTTGATTGTCCTTCCCCCGCAACCTCCGATTAGTGCGGTTGACTACGAACGGTGCGAAAGTTCAACACGCACAGACTACACTTAACACTACAATACACACTACACTATACCCTACGATACACTACACCACGATACGCCATTGAAAATCTTTAGAACTGCTTGTTGTTATTGTGTTTCGTTTGTTGTCCTTCCCCCGCACTTCTGATTAGCGCGGTTGGCTACGTACGGTGCCACAGAAGTTCAATGTAAACACAAACCACAATTTCAACAACATCGTCACATTCGTCGTCCCACCTAATTATTATCGAATACATCTCCGTGACCGATAAGGACCCATAGAAGTAGAGGACAATTGATTTTCTGCCCCACTGGAATCTGCTGCCCACAACACCACGGTGGCTAGGAGATGTTGACTACCTCACCTGGTATGCAGGAGGTCGTGGGTTCGATCCTGACCCTGACGATGCCTGCTGCTGTAGATTTGGAGTTTGCGTCTCTCTCTCATCATCATCATCATCACGGTGGCTAGGAGATGTTAACTACTTCGCCTGGTATGCAGGGGGTCGTGGATTCGATCCCGACCCTGACGATGCCTGCTGCTGTATATTTGGAGTTTGCGTCTCTCTCATCATCATCACGGTGGCTAGGAGATGTTGACTACCTCGCCTGGTGTGCAGGAGGTCGTGGGTTCGATCCCGACCCTGACGACGCCTGCTGCTGTATATTTGGAGTTTGTGCGTCTCTCATTATCACAGTGGCTTGGAGATGTTAACCACCTCGCCGGGTATACGGGAGGTCGTGGGTTCGAACCGAACCCTGACACCCTTGCGGCGTCTCTATCTCTCTCTCCCTGTGGTCGAGTGGATTTTTCTACGGGTCCTCCGGTTTTTCCCTCCACATTCAGAATCAACGTCACGCGTTTACAGTATTTGTGACGGTGACAATAAGCGGCCACTTCGTTGAGCTATCATTTGTGATAGCCCGGTCGCTTCTGAAAACAAGCCACGCACCTGGTAAAATAAAAAATAGTTTAATTTTAGAAATGTTGTGTTGCGAGCAGAGGTCGCAAACGGGTTTTGATTCCTTACCCCGTACCCGTACCCGGCCGCACCAGGGTTGCAAACGGGTACCCGTACCCGTACCCGTACCGGCTACGGTAGCCGTTTGCGACCCTGGTGCGGCCGGGTACAGGTACGGGTAGGCCGTGAGTCACTGGTGAGTTACCGTTTGTCACTCATTTCCCAACGTCTTGTCTCTTCTCACAATTCAAGTTCCTAGAATCAACCCACCCGCGCCTGCAACATGGCTTCATCCCAGAGGTCGCAATCAGGTACCCGATACCCGTACCCTACCCGATACCCGGCTACCCATACCCGGCCGGGTACGGGTAGCCAGGTATCGGGTAGGGTACGGGTATCGGGTACCCGGTTGCGACCTCTGGTTGCGAGCGCAGGGTGGTGACGCGGACGCTGGGCCATGACGAACCTTTGTCTCCCGGAGTTTGTGCCTCGGAGTCGAGGCTGTCCTCCCATTCTTGCTTCACGATGACCGCCACGGGAGCCTCCGCTGCCTCCATCTCGCTGTGCCCTATCCACAAACACAATTACACTTTTATAATTAGCGAGTCTGATCATTGAGCCACGCAGTACAAAGAGAACTCTGCTGCCACCATCTCGCTGTGCCCTATTATAAAACAATGACACTTATTATAATTAGCGAGTCTGAATCACTGAGTCTCGCAGTACAAAGATAACTCCTCCGCTGCCTCCATCTCGCTGTGCCCTATCCACAAACACAATGACACTTATTATAATTAGCCAGACGGGATCACTGAGCCTCGCAGTACAAAGATAACTCCTCCGTTGCCTCCATCTCGCTGTGCCCTATCCGCAAACACAATAACAATTATTATAATTAGCGAGTCTGAATCATTGAACCTCGCAGTACAAAGAGAAGTCCTCCGCTGCCACCATCTCGCTGTGCCCTATTAGAAAACAATGACACTTATTATAATTAGCGAGTCTGAATCATTGAGCCTTGTAGTACAAAGATAACTCCTCCGCTGCCACCATCTCAATGTGCCCTATCCACAAACACAATAACAATGATTATAATTAGCGAGTCTGAATCATTGAACCTCGCAGGAGAGAGAGAACTTCTCCGCTGCCACCATCTCGATGTGCCCTATCCGCAAACACAATAACAATGATTAAAATTAGCGAGTCTGAATCACGATTTAAAGCTTTCGTGACTGCAGGGATTCATCTTCTTGGTTCTTTCGGTAAAGTCACGTAGCATGGAAACAATAAAAATAATAAAAGAAAACATAATAAAATAATTCTCACGACGTTTCGGCCACAACGCAAGCAGCCGTCATCAGGTGAAGACCAGGTCTGTCGGGGAGACGCCACCTGCACGAAACGTCGTGAGAATTATTTTATTATGTTTTATTTTATTATTTTTACTGTTTCCATTCTATGTGACTTTACCGAAAGAACCAAGAAGATGAGTCTGAATCATTGAGCCACGCTGCCTCCATCTCATTGGACTTTGCCTGGTAGGATGGGGGGTGGTGGTTTAGTTGTATTTGTGTTTTGGGGTGATTTGTGGTTTGCCTTCGATGTACCCTGCACCGCTATGGCGTTTGTGTATTGTTTGTTATTGTAACGTTCTGACCCCGTGCCTCCTACTGGACAAAAGAGCTTTATAGCTCTTCGAATTACTTCAGTCTAAATACATATTCTGATGTCGCTGTACACGTTTGTTTTATTTCCTGCATCCTCCGGTTTTTCCCTCATTTAAATTTCGATTTAAAGCTTTCGTGACTGCAGGGATTCATCTTCTTGGATCTTTCGGTAAAGTCACGTAGAAGGGAAATAATAAAATAATAAAAATTTTACGTGACTTTACCGAAAGAACCAAGAAGATAGTTTAGTACTCTTAGTTTTTTCGGTAAAGTCACGTAGATAAAAAATGAAATTAAAATTAATAAAATAATAAACATCACGACGTTTCGTAGGCAACACAAGTCTGCGTCATCAGGTGGGACCGTCACAGCCAGATTTGCTGTATCAAGTGAGGCAGGGATTCCAAGATGCAAGTTCTTAAATACAAGTTAAGGGGGAGGAGAGGGGGGGGGAGCTTATCAGAATGTGGTAGTTTTATTTGCATATTTTTTTAAAGGTATTTGTTGATATTTCCTATACTTTCCACTCCTATCATGTGTTTGTATTGTTTGTTGAAAACGCTCTGACCCTGTACCCCTAAATGAACAAAGAGCTTGAGAGCTCTTCGGATTCCTCCTGCAGTATCAATACAAGATTCTGATCTCGCTGTGCCGTATCTGCAAGGACAAACAAACACCACGGTAATGACGGTAGCTTCGTGACCGTGCGATGATTTGATCGTTATCATTTGGGTAACGTTGAGATTCCATTGAGCGATGTCGTTTCTTCTTGGTCTCGGACCGTGTCTCCGGTTTGCAGTGTCACAATTTTTCATTTTCCCCGTCTTGATTTGCCGTTTTGTTCACTCCCGTTCGTTGCCAACGGAGAATTTACGAATCTCTGTCGGGCGCGATTCACGAAGTTGTTAAATAATCAAATTCTCACAATTTGATGCGTGTGTCGTGATGCGTGAGAATCAATGTTGATTGGCAATTTAAAGCCTCGCAACATTCCGAGTGGCTTGATTACAGCGAAGACATCTCTCCTCACCTCTCCTCACCCTACTCTCCCCCACACACGCTCCGAAATCTCCCCTCTCGTCCCACTCTACTCTCCTTGACGCATTCCCTGACCTCTCTCCCACTCATGTATACTTATGCATATCTTCATAATCAACGTTTTTGGGTTTATTCATAATCAACGTTTTGGGTCTTTTGTCAACGTGACACTTTTTTCTGATTGGCCGTGTCGGGTGGTGGAGGGTTACGACACATTTATAAATAACGCGATCGAAACCCAAAAACGTTGATTATGAATAATATTGGTCGCGAAAGCCTACGTGTTAAACTTATGCATATCTGTTGAACTTTTTTCACACCGTACGTAGCCAACCGTGCTAATCTGTGGGTCTCTGTGTGTGTATTTTGAACTTATTTCACACCGTACATAGCTAAATGTGCTAATCTGTGGGTCTTTGTGGGTCTCTGTGTGTGTATTTTGAACTTATTTCACACCGTACATAGCTAAATGTGCTAATCTGTGGGTCTTTGTGGGTCTCTGTGTGTGTATTTTGAACTTATTTCACACCGTACATAGCTAAATGTGCTAATCTGTGGGTCTTTGTGGGTCTCTGTGTGTGTATTTTGAACTTATTTCACACCGTACATAGCTAAATGTGCTAATCTGTGGGTCTTTGTGGGTCTCTGTGTGTGTATTTTGAACTTATTTCACACCGTACATAGCTAAATGTGCTAATCTGTGGGTCTTTGTGGGTCTCTGTGTGTGTATTTTGAACTTATTTCACACCGTACATAGCTAAATGTGCTAATCTGTGGGTCTTTGTGGGTCTCTGTGTGTGTATTTTGAACTTATTTCACACCGTACATGGCCAGCCATGCTCATCGGAGGTGTGCGGGTAAAGACAACAAACTAAACACAAAAAACAGTTCTAAGAAAATTAGTTTGTTCATCTAAAGTCCATAGTTTTACCAGGATAGCCTTCTTGATTCAAAACCGGTCTTTTTTTTACGTATCCAACAGGGTTCATATGAACCAATTCCGCGCCTTCTGAAACAAAATGATGCAATAATTAAACAAACAATCCGTGGGTCACCGATCAGAAAAATTACATTTTAGGTTTGAAATATATAAAATATTTTTTTGAAAGAAGTTCTACACACAGTAGAAAATGTGACCCTGTTTGGCAGCATCAACGTACAAGAAAACAGGAACGGGTTTTACCCTTCTGGCAATAAAACAGTAATTGTGTTAAGATTCATATTTCTTAGGTTTTTTTCGGTAAAGTCACGTAGGGAAATTTTTTTAAATTAATATTTTATTTTTATTTTACTTTTATTAATTTAATTTTTTTACCTACGTGACTTTACCGAAAAAAACCTAAGAATATGAATCCTTGCAGTCACGAAAGCTTCAAATCTAGAATTGTGTTAAGATGTTCAAACACCAGGTAGAAACGAGTCTGATTTACCGAGTGTTGACATCCCCCAGTACTGCTATTTTGGATGTGGTAGCCAACATCGGCTGTAACCCCGGTTGAGGTTTTCCAATTGTACCCTCTCTTCTAGCCCCCCCCCCCCCGTTCCAGTCCCTGACTACCACATTTAGATAAGCCCCCCTCCCCATAACCAGCATATAAGATCTTGTCTCTTGGATTTCTCTTCACTTGATACAGTCAATTTAGCTGTGACGGTCCCACCTGAAGACGGAGACTTGTGTTGCCTCCGAAACGTCGTAATTTTATTCATTTATTTTCATATATTTTTATTTTTTTTTATTATTTTTTTACCTACGTGACTTTACCGAAAAAAACCTACTACTGCTACTACTGTTGCTACTACTGCTGCTACTACTACTGCTACGACTGCAGCTACTACTGTTGCTGCTGCTACTGCTGTTGCTACTACTGCTGCTGCTGCTGCTACTGCTGCTACTACTGCTGCTGCTGCTACGACTGCAGCTACTACTGTTGCTGCTGCTACTGCTGCTGCTACTACTGCTGCTGCTGCTGCTACTACTGCTGCTACTACTACTGCTGCTGCTACTGCTGCTACTGCTGCTACTGCTGCTGCTACTACTGCTACTACTACTGCTGCTACTGCTGCTGCTACTGCTGCTGCTACTGCTGCTATAACTACTGCTGCTACTGCTGCTGTTACTGCTGCTGCTACTGGTGCTACTGCTGCTGTTACTGCTGCTGCTACTGGTGCTACAACTACTGCTGCTACTACTGCTGCTACTACTGCTGCTACTGCTACTACTGCTGCTACTGCTACTACTACTGCTACTACTTCTACTGCTGCTACTTCTACTGCTGCTGCTACTGCTGTTGCTACTTCTGCTGCTACTTCTACTGCTACTACTGCTGCTACTACTGCTGCTACTACTGCTACTACTTCTGCTGCTACTACTGCTACTACTTCTGCTGCTACTACTGCTACTACTGCTGCTACTACTGCTCCTACAACTACTGCTACTACTACTGCTGCTGCTATTGCTGCTGCTACTACTGTTGCTGCTGCTACTGCTGCTACTGCTCCTACTGCTGCTGCTACTGCTGCTACTACTGCTACTACTACTGCTGCTGCTACTACTGGTACTTCTGCTACTTCTGCTGCTACTACTGCTGCTACTGCTCCTACTGCTGCTTCTACTGCTGCTACTACTGCTGCTGCTACTACTGCTGCTACTGCTACTGCTCCTACAACTACTGCTTCTACTACTGCTGCTGCTATTGCTGCTGCTACTACTGTTGCTGCTGCTACTGCTGCTACTACTGCTGCTACTGCTCCTACTGCTGCTGCTACTACTGCTGCTGCTGCTACTACTGCTGCTACTGCTGTTGCTGCTACTGCTGCTGCTACTACTTCTACTGCTGCTACTGCTGCTACTGCTCCTACTGCTGCTGCTACTACTGCTACTTCTGCTGCTACTACTACTACTGCTGCTACTGCTCCTACTGCTACTACTATTACTTCTGCTGCTACTACTGCTACTGCTGCTACTGCTCCTACTGCTGCTGCTACTACTGCTACTTCTGCTGCTACTACTACTACTGCTGCTACTGCTCCTACTGCTGCTGCTACTACTGCTACTTCTGCTGCTACTGCTACAACTGCTGCTACTGCTCCTACTGCTGCTGCTACTTCCCCCTCCCCCGGCAGCAGCAGCAGCCGTGGCTCGCCCCGCTGTGGCGGTCTCATCGCCTCCCACCAAATCTCACCACACGTCACCAAACTTTACCATATTTTAGCAAACCTCACCATACTTCACCACTGCGGCAATGACGTGGGGGGGGGTAGGGGGGATGGGGGGTAGGGGGAATAAGGGGGGTAGAAGGGGGGTAGAGGGGGGGTAGGGGGTTGGGGTATGGGGGGGGAGTAGAGGGGGGGGGGGGTAGGGGGGGTAGAGGGAGGGGGGTAGAGGGAGGGGGTAGAGGGAGGGGGTAGGGGGGTAGAGGGAGGGGGTAGGGGGGTAGAGGGAGGGGGGTAGAGGGAGGGGGTAGAGGGAGGGGGTAGGGGGGGTAGAGGGAGGGGGGTAGAGGGAGGGGGGTAGAGGGAGGGGGTTGGGGTATGGGGGGGGAGTAGAGGGGGGGGTAGGGGGGGTAGAGGGAGGGGGGTAGAGGGAGGGGGTAGAGGGAGGGGGTAGGGGGGTAGAGGGAGGGGGGTAGAGGGAGGGGGTAGAGGGAGGGGGTAGGGGGGTAGAGGGAGGGGGGTAGAGGGAGGGGGTAGAGGGAGGGGGTTGGGGTATGGGGGGGGAGTAGAGGGGGGGGTAGGGGGGGTAGAGGGAGGGGGGTAGAGGGAGGGGGTAGAGGGAGGGGGTAGGGGGGTAGAGGGAGGGGGTAGGGGGGTAAGGGGGGAACGGGGGGGGTAGGGGGGGGGATGGGGGGTAGGGGGGGGATGGAGGGGTAGGGGGGACAAGGGGGGTATAAGGGGGGTAGAGGGGGGTAGGGGGGTGGGGTATGGGGGGGTAGAGGGAGGGGTAGGGGGGTAAAGGGGGAACGGGGGGAAATGGGGGGGGTAGGGGGGGGTAGGGGGGGTAGAGGGGGGATGTAGGGGTAGAGGGGGGTAGGGGGTTAGGGGGGTAGAGGGGGGTGGTAGAGGGGGGTAGGGAGGGTCTCTGTTACTCGTTTGGGGTCTTCGGTAGTGACGACGGCGGCGGCGATTCTCAGCGAGACGACCGCAGTCTTCCCCTCCTCGCAGTCGCGTGCGAACACCGCGGTGGTGGTGGCTCCGGTGGTGGCTACGGTGGTGAGTGTGGTGGTGGTGGTGGCTGAGGTGGTGGTGGCTACGGTGGTGAGTGTGGTGGTGGTGGTGGCTCCGGTGGTGGCTACGGTGGTGAGTGTGGTGGTGGTGGTGGCTACGGTGGTGGTGGCTGAGGTGGTGAGTGTGGTGGTGGTGGTGGCTCCGGTGGTGGCTACGGTGGTGAGTGTGGTGGTGGTGGTGGCTGAGGTGGTGGTGGCTACGGTGGTGAGTGTGGTGGTGGTGGTGGCTCCGGTGGTGGCTACGGTGGTGAGTGTGGTGGTGGTGGTGGCTACGGTGGTGGTGGCTGAGGTGGTGAGTGTGGTGGTGGTGGTGGCTGAGGTGGTGGTGGCTGAGGTGGTGAGTGTGGTGGTGGTGGTGGCTCCGGTGGTGGTGGCTGAGGTGGTGAGTGTGGTGGTGGTGGTGGCTACGGTGGTGGTGGCTACGGTGGTGAGTGTGGTGGTGGTGGTGGCTCCGGTGGTGGTGGCTGAGGTGGTGAGTGTGGTGGTGGTGGTGGCTACGGTGGTGGTGGCTGAGGTGGTGGTGGCTGAGGTGGTGAGTGTGGTGGTGGTGGTGGCTGAGGTGGTGAGTGTGGTGGTGGTGGTGGCTACGGTGGTGGTGGCTGAGGTGGTGGTGGCTGAGGTGGTGAGTGTGGTGGTGGTGGTGGCTGAGGTGGTGAGTGTGGTGGTGGTGGTGGCTCCGGTGGTGGTGGCTGAGGTGGTGAGTGTGGTGGTGGTGGTGGCTACGGTGGTGGTGGCTGAGGTGGTGGTGGCTGAGGTGGTGAGTGTGGTGGTGGTGGTGGCTGAGGTGGTGAGTGTGGTGGTGGTGGTGGCTACGGTGGTGGTGGCTGAGGTGGTGGTGGCTGAGGTGGTGAGTGTGGTGGTGGTGGTGGCTGAGGTGGTGAGTGTGGTGGTGGTGGTGGCTACGGTGGTGGCTACGGTGGTGGTGGTGACGACTGCGGTGATGGTGACTTCGGTGGCGGTGGCCGTGGTGGTGGTGAGTGTGGTTGTGGTGGTGGTGGTGACTTCGGTGGTGGTGGCGGAGGTGGTGGCTGTGGTGGTGGTGAGTGTGGTGTTGGTGGCTACGGTGGTTGAGGTAGTAGCTGTGGTAGTGGCTGTGTTGGTGGTGGTGGCTACGGTAGTGGTGGTTGTGTTGGCGGCTGTTGTGGTGGCGGTTGTGGTGGTGGTTGTGGTTGTTGTGGTGGTGGCTGTTGTGGTGGTTGTGTTGGTTGTTGTTGTGTTGGTGGCTGTTGTTGTGGTGTTTGTTGTTGTTGTTGTGGTGGTTGTGGTGGTAGCCGAGGAAGTTTACGAGCGAGGGATCGAAGACAAATCCGGGATCGGCCTCCCCAACCTCGCCACCGCCTCCATGTCGCCGGAACGCCGCCGCGCCGATGACGTCATCTGACCAGACGATGACGTCATCTGACCAGACGATGACGTCATCGGACAGACCACGACGTCATCGGACCAGACCATGACGTCATCGATGCCGCCGTGGGGCCCGCCTGAGGGTGACGTCATCTAACGATGACATTACCCGACTCGGCCCCGACGATGCCGATGACGTCATCGTCGTCGGTGACGTCATTCAATCGCTCAAACTTGATTACGATCGCACTATTGGTGCAAAGCAACGCAACACACAGCGCTTTAGAGGCATGGACGGATACAAGTGAGATTGTAGGGGAATTAAAATCAAGTTGTCGCACATTTCTAGCAAGTTTAAAAAATATTTATTTTTAAAAGCGCTTCATGATTCTGAAGCCCTCAGACCCCGTTGCGTAGCAGCGCTGTGACGTCATCGCTCGTTTGATGACGTCGTCGGCGGTCATAAAACTGTCGCGAGGGTGGGGGCCCTGAACGTGAATCTCCTCCATGGAGTGGGGGCCCTGAACGTGAATCCCCCATGGAAGAGGGGGGGCCCTGAACGTGAATCCCCCATGGAAGAGGGGGGCCCTGAACGTGAATCCCTCATGGAAGAGAGGGGGGCCCTGAACGTGAATCTCCTACCCATAGAGGGGGGCCCTGAACGTGAATCCCTCCCCCATGGAGGGGCCCTGAACGTGAATCCCCCCCCCCCCATGGAGGGGGGGCCCTGAACGTGAATCCCCCCCCGCCATAGAGGGGGGCCCTGAACGTGAATCCCCCCCATGGAAGAGGGGCCCTGAACGTGAATCTCCTACCCATAGAGGGGGGCCCTGAACGTGAATCCCCCCCCGCCATAGAGGGGGGCCCTGAACGTGAATTTCCCCCATGGAAGAGGGGGCCCTGAACGTGAATCTCCCACCCATAGAGGGGGGCCCTGAACGTGAATCCCCCCCCGCCATAGAGGGGGGCCCTGAACGTGAATCCCCCCCATGGAAGAGGGGCCCTGAACGTGAATCTCCTACCCATAGAGGGGGGCCCTGAACGTGAATCCCCCCCCGCCATAGAGGGGGGCCCTGAACGTGAATCCCTCCCCCATGGAGGGGGGGCCCTGAACGTGAATCTCCCACCCATAGAGGGGGGCCCTGAACGTGAATCCCTCCCCCATGGAGGGGGGGGCCCTGAACGTGAATCTCCTACCCATAGAGGGGGGCCCTGAACGTGAATCTCCCACCCATAGAGGGGGGCCCTGAACGTGAATCCCCTCCATGGAGGGGGGGGGCCCTGAACGTGAATCTCCCACCCATAGAGGGGGGCCCTGAACGTGAATCCCCCCCCCATGGAGGAGGGGCCCTGAACGTGAATCCCTCCCCCCATGGAGGAGGGGCCCTGAACGTGAATCCCCCCCATGGAAGAGGGGGGGGCCCTGAACGTGAATCTCCCACCCATAGAGGGGGGCCCTGAACGTGAATCTCCTACCCATAGAGGGGGGCCCTGAACGTGAATCTCCTACCCATAGAGGGGGGCCCTGAACGTGAATCCCTCCCCCATGGAGGGGGGGCCCTGAACGTGAATCTGCCACCCATAGTGGGGGGCCCTGAACGTGAATCTCCCACCCATAGTGGGGGGCCCTGAACGTGAATATGCCACCCATAGTGGGGGGCCCTGAACGTGAATCTGCCACCCATAGTGGGGGGCCCTGAACGTGAATCTCCCACCCATAGTGAGGGGCCCTGAACGTGAATCCCCTACCCATAGCGGGGGGCCCTGAACGTGAATCCCCTACCCATAGAGGGGGGCCCTGAACGTGAATCTCCCACCCATAGTGGGGGGCCCTGAACGTGAATCTCCTACCCATAGTGGGGGGCCCTGAACGTGAATCCCCTACCCATAGCGGGGGGCCCTGAACGTGAATCTCCCACCCTCCCCACGGAGGTGGGAAGCGAGCGGCTGAATGTGGACCCCAAAGCGGCTCACTCGCAGCAGTAACAACAGCAGCAGCAACAGCAGCAACACCAACAGCAGCAACAGCAGCAGTAGCAGCAACAGCAGTAACAGCAGCAACAGCAGTAACAGCAGCAACACCAACAGCAGTAACAACAGCAGCAACAGCAGCAGCAGTAACAACAGCAGTAACAGCAGCAACAGCAGTAACAGCAGCAACAGCAGTAACAGCAGCAGCATCAGCAACAGCAGTAGCAGTAACAGCAACAGCAGCAACAACAGCAGCAGTAACAACAGCAGTAACAGCAGTAACAGCAGCAGCATCAGCAACAGCAGTAACAGCAACAACAGCAACAACAGCAGCAACAGTAACAACAACAGCAGTAACAGCAACAACAGCAATAACAGCAGCAACAGTAACAACAACAACAGCAGCAGCATCAGCCAGGTCACTCAATTTGAGGCTGAGTCGACCTAAGGGAGGGGCGGGGGGGGGGAGAGACGCAGGGACCGGCTCAGATAAAATCGCCGTCATGTTAATCGGGGATCGAACTCAACCCATTCATTCAATCCAATCATCATCATCATTGAATGTCAGAATAAACACATTGTCCTGCGGAGGGAGCTGGTAGGAACACGTCGGGTTGCTCGGTCAATGGCCTGCAGGGTCAACGGCGGCGTGGTGTATTCCGCAAATATGCCCGACTGTGAGGGCAGGCACAAGCCGGCGTGAGTAGGTTAAACGTTGAGTTTCATAAGGTCACCACGGGGTGACCAGCCCCTCCACACCCAGCCCCACCCTCCCCTCCCCACCCAGCCCCACCCTCCAATATTATTCTTAGGTTTTTTCGGTAAAGTCACGTAAGTAAAACATTAAAATTAATTAAAGTAAAATAAAATAAAAATCACGTTTCGGAGGCAACACAAGCTTCCGTCTTCAGGTGAAACCGTCACAGCCACGACAGCCGTATCAAGTAAATGATACAGCTGTCGTGGCTGTGACAGGACAGCTGTATTGTTGCATCCCGAAACGTCGTGATTTTTATTTTATTTTTATTAATTTTAATGTTTTACCTACGTGACTTTACCGAAAAAACCTAAGAATATGAATCCTTGCTGTCACGAAAGCTTCAAATCTAGAATCCAGTATTATTCTTATGATATGGCCATCACTCATTAAACCCATTCATCTTCTTGGTTCTTTCGGTAAAGTCACGTAGAATGGAAATAATCAAAATAAAACATAATAAAATAATTCTCACGACGTTTCCGCCACAACGCAAGCAGCCGTCCTCAGGTGGAGAGCAGGTCCAGCTCCCTCCGCAGGACAATGTGTTTTATTTGAGCGCTGGGCCGGTTGGTTGTGGCAATGAACGGAGCGCGACACTTTTGTCGAAGACGTCGAGCGAGAACGCAGGCGGCTCTCATCGGAAGCTCCGCGTGCCGTGTCGCCCGCTCCGGTTCCCGCTCTCTCTCTGGGGGGGTCGCGGGGTCGGATGGGGGGCCCCGCGGGGTCGAAGCTGCGATTCTGGAAGCCTTGAAGGAGTCCAGGAGCTCGTCGATGCGCTCCTGCAGCGGCCTTGCACACTGAACGCTCTGGGGAGCCTTTAACATTTGTAGTGTGTAACATACACGGAGGCGCACACACTATAAGTTGGATGCAACAAGTTTAATAAACAAACTACTGTATAAACATTTTTCGATGTAAAGCTTTCGTGACTGCAGGGATTCATCTTCTTGGTTCTTTCGGTAAAGTCACGTAGAATGTAAATAATAAAAATAAAATAATCAAATACAATTCTCAAGACGTTTCGGCCACAACGCAAGCAGCCGTCCTCAGGTGAAGAACAGGTCTGTCGGAAAGACAGCGTCTGAAATGACGGCTGCTTTGCGTTGTTGCCGAAACGTCGTGAGAATAATTTTATGTTTTATTTTTATTATTTCCCTTCTACGTGACTTTACCGAAAGAACCAAGAAGATGAAACTATAAACACTCTAAGTCCACGAGCTCGGTGTGGCTATCTATCGCTATGTGCGTGCGAGTTAAACGAAACGAACGGGTCAACAGCAGCAGCACACATTCCGCTATGGGGAGCCTTCAACACATTCCGCTATGGGGAGCCTTCAACACATTCCGCTATGGGGAGCCTTCAACACATTCCGCTATGGGGAGCCTTCAACACTGAACGCTATGGG